CGATCACTAACCAGCACCAACGCTACCCCAGTCCGCCAGCCGCCTACCAGGCTCTCCGCTCTGCGTCCCCGCAGCCTTACCGCCCCGCTAGCCCCCCTAGGTCTCCACTACTCCGCCGTGCCGCCAGCCCGCCCTCTAAGACGAACTACTCGTTAAATGGAGTGAGCCTGAACTAAGTCGCGTGCAGGCTCCTGAACGGCGCATCAAGAAACCACTTCCCTTAGTCCGATTATCCGCCGCGTCTATTAAGGGACTATCGGTGCACGAGGAAAGTGACCAGAGGTCTAACATGATTATCCTGCCTATCACGCTAGAGATAGGGAAGAAGGCGATACTAACGTACGCCATGACTGATTCTGGAGCAGAGGGTAAAGGATTTATAGACCGAAGCTGGGCTGATAGCCACGGGCTACCTCTAAGGAAGCGAAAGAACCCCTTTGGCATTGTTACGTTTGAGGGCGACATGTCTGTTAAGGGGATAGTAACGCACTATGTAGAAACCACCATGCGGGTAGAGGACCACCTAGAGACGATCCGGCTGAACGTGACGCAGCTAGCGCACTACCCAGTAATCCTAGGAATGCCCTGGCTAAAGCAACATGACCCGAAGATTGGCTTCGCTAGCCACACGTTGACGTTTGAGAGCGAGTACTGCCAGAAACACTGCAACACGCCTGGAAGGCCAAACAAGATCCACGCTCTGCACGAGCTCCCGCCAAAATCCCGCACGATTGACCTGCCCGACCGCCCAAAGCTGCTGAGGAATCGAGATATCGCGAAGGTATCGCTGAACGCTTGCGCTGCGTACGCCCGAAGAAACTACCGTATGTTTACGATCACGATCGAACAGATAGATCGCTATCTGTCCCAGCCTGACACGCCTGAGCTACTAGACCCTAAGTCCCTACTGCCAGAGGAGATAAGGGACTTCTGAGACGTCTTCTCGCCCAAAGAAGCGGAGAAGCTCCCTCCACACCGCTCACACGACCATGACATCCGCTTACTTGATGGCAAGACGCCGCCCTTCGGGCCGCTGTACCCCATGTCCCGAGAAGAACTTAAAGCCTTAAAGGAATGGCTAGAGGAGAACCTGCGGAAGGGCTTTATCCGGCCAAGCTCTTCGCCTGCCGCCTCGCCTGTACTGTTTGTTAAGAAGCCGGATGGAGGCCTCCGGTTCTGTGTCGATTACCGAGGACTAAACAACATCTCAGTAAAGGACCGCTACCCGCTGCCGCTCGTAAAGGAGAGCTTAAATAACTTGAAGGGAATGAAGTACTTCTCCAAGGTTGATATCATCGCTGCCTTCAACAACGTACGTATGAAGGAAGGCCAGGAGTATTTGACTGCGTTCCGAACGCGATTCGGCCTGTATGAGAGTCTGGTGATGCCGTTTGGCCTATCTGGAGCACCAGCTACCTTTCAGAGGTTCATCAACGATACCTTGAGGGAATACTTGGACGTTTTCTGCACTGCCTACCTAGACGACATTCTGATCTACAGCCGAACTAGAGGAGAACACGAAAAACACCTGCGCCTGGTACTAACCGCGCTGCGAAAAGCCGGACTGTACGCAAAGATCCAGAAGTGCGAATTCTTCAAGGAAGAGACTACCTTCCTAGGCGTTATTGTTGGACGCGAAGGGATTCGCATGGACCCACAGAAGGTCGAGACAATACAGGAATGGAAAACCCCGTCCTGCCTGACTGACGTACAAGCGTTTATCGGATTTAGTAACTTCTACCGTCGGTTTATACAAGACTTCTCGAAGATTATCGCCCCGCTAGTCGCTCTTACAAGAAAGGGTATTAAGTTTGTCTGGAATAGTGACTGCCAGAAGGCCTTCGACCGTCTGAAAACCGCATTTACCGAAGCCCCGATCCTGGCCCCGTTCAACTGGGAAAGGGAGATTATCCTAGAGACGGATGCATCCGACTATGTATCCGCTGGAGTGCTATCTCAGTACGGAGACGATGGGATACTTCGACCCGTAGCGTTCTTCTCTAAGAAACACTCAACGACTGAGTGTAATTATGAGATATACGATAAAGAACTGCTCGCGATCGTACGCTGCTTCGAGGAATGGAGACCTGAGCTGGAAGGAACCGCATCGCCAATTAAGGTTATTACAGACCACCGCAACCTAGAGTACTTTACAACTACTAAGTTGCTGAACCGACGACAAGCCCGCTGGTCTGAATTCCTGTCCCGCTTTAACTTCCGGATCACATACCGCCCCGGCAAGCTGGGTGCGAAGCCTGACGCGCTGACCAGGAGGTCAGAAGATCTGCCTAAGGAGGGGGATGAACGCCTGCAGCACCAGAGCCAAGTCGTGCTAAAGAAGGAGAACTTCGATCTGCCTCCAACCCCGCGGGACACGCCCGCTACAACCCCCGTACTAGCCGCCGCCCGCCTTGTCAATGTACCGCCAACGCCGCCAGCTTCCCCAAAACCTAAGAAAAAAGTCCGCTTTGCCGTCGACCACTTCGTCCGCCTGTTCCCTATTACACGCGCCCGTGCGATAGGAAGTCCAGAACTAGCAGTGCCAGAACCAGCCGTTGAACCCGCCCGTCCGATACTACCACCTAGGAGAGCTGCACCGATACTACCGCCGACCATAAAGGATCTGTTCACGAAGGGATACAAGAACGACGAAGAACTGAGTTCTATACTAGAGGCCCTCCGTACTAGACAGAGTCGTCACAAGAGGATCACACTCGCCGAGTGTGTAGAGCGTGAAGGCTACCTGTATTATCGAGACCGCCTGTACGCGCCTAATGACCCTGAGCTACATGCTGAGCTACTACGGATGTACCACGAGAGCCCTGTCGCCGGCCACATGGGCCGATCCCGAACCTACGAGGCACTGTCCCGAGAATACTACTGGCCTGGAATGCTAGACTACGTCGAGCAATGGGTTCGGAACTGTCACACTTGTAGACGAATTACGACGTCACGAGAAGCAAAACAAGGAGTCCTGAAACCGTTACCAATACCTAACCGAGCCTGGCAAGATCTGTCGATGGACTTTATCACGCACCTGCCTAAGAGTAGTGGATTTGACGCTATCTTAGTCGTAGTAGACAGACTCACTAAGATGAAGCACTTTGTTGCCTGCCAGGGTACCTGCGACGCCGAGGAGGTATCGCGCCTATTCACGAAGTACGTCTGGAAGCTACACGGCCTCCCCAAGACTATCGTATCAGACCGAGGACCACAGTTCGTATCCGAGTTCTGGAGCCACCTAACCCGACGCCTAGGGATCCAGTCCCTCCTGTCTACTGCGTACCACCCAGAAACTGACGGGCAAACGGAGAGAGCGAACTCCTTTCTAGAACAGTACTTGCGAAGCCAAGTTTCGTACCTGCAGGATGACTGGGCGAGATGGCTACCGCTAGCCGAATTTGCGGTAAACAACGCTAACAACGAGAGCACCCGCACAACGCCATTCTTCGCGAACTACGGCTTCCACCCCCGCCTAGGATTCGAGCCTGTTGATCCAAGCCGACAGCCAGCGGCGCAAGACGCCGAAAATCTAGCCCTAAAGATGAAAACCGTCCACGAGTACTTGCGCTCTGAGATTTGTGTCGCACAAGCCCAGCACGAGAAGTACGCCAACAGGAAACGCAAACCTGCCCGCCAGTTCTTTGAAAACGACCTAGTGTGGCTTGACGCCCGGAATATTAAGACCGCCCGCCCGCAGAAAAACTAGACTGGAAATTCCTAGGACCCTACAGGGTCACTCAAGGTCGTCAGCCCGTATGCTTACCGCCTAGAGCTGCCTGCTTCAATGAAGATCCACCCTGTGTTCCACGTGAGCCTGCTCCGCCCAGCTGCGACTGACCCCCTGCCTGGGCAGCGACAAGACCCGCCTCCTCCTGTCGAAGTCGAGGGAGTCGAGGAGTGGGAGGTCGAGGACATCCTAGACTCCCGCTGGGACCGCCGCGGCCGTGGAGGCCGGCCCCGACTAAAGTATATAGTGAAGTGGGTTGGATACGACGAGCCTACTGAAGTACCAGCCGACTACGTCGAGAACGCCCAGGAGATTGTCAAGAACTTCCACCGCCGTTACCCAGACAAGCCCCGTTGATCGCGTCGTCGGAGCTCCGCCTAAGGAGGGGAGTACTGTCACGGCGCTGACCTAGATAGCCTATTAGAGCGCGCCAAGCTGCTAAGCGAGCAGCTGCGCGATCGCTGAAATTCCTGCGCGAACGCGCCCTGTCGTACGCTCCTTGAGCTACGTCCTTGTCTTAGCCTGACCCCGTATTGTCAGCGATATCGTAGTGAATATACTGATCACGTGCACCTATCTTCCCTGCCTGCCGACCCCGTGACAGTACTTAGGCGTAGCCCCTTACACTTATAAAGTAGAATCACATGTGGAAGACTTGCCACTTCGGCCTTGTCAGGCAGACGAACGCCTCGATTACGCTAGCAGGGAGGATGGCCGACCCGCACCGCCACAGACCTTGCCATGGGTCCAATATTTCCCCTTTAACAAAGAGAGAAGATAAGAAAGTAGTGTATATCTCTCCGTGCAGCCGGCTGTTCAGTGCCTAGACCGCGGATGTCAGCCGCGCCGGGAACCGACACTCACGTTCAGCTCTAAATGCACAACATGGGCTTGAGTGGACAAGGAATTAACTTGGATCGAACTCATTCAGACGTATTGAAGTCTTCGAACACTCGTTTGTTTAACAAATTCCTGGTTAGTACGGCCAGAGGTCGATATCGCACCTGCTCAGGCAATTCCAGCATCGTCAAACTTATCATATGACTGGATTGATTCCGTTACCAGTATTGCCTCGAGATGCGGAGTGCAGTTGGCCCTCGCGGAACGTGATTGTAAGATCGACTGCAAGAATTTAAAGCGAAATACGCATGGTATTGAAAACTCTTTATATAACAAGCCCTTATGGTAAATGAGTAGGAACCACGTCTGCTCATGTCCCATTTCCATTCAAGTCTCCTTTCTCTTCTTCACTTTCTTCTTCTCTACCTTTTCACTCCCGCCTCCCTTCCTCTTCTTCTTTCCTTTTTTTCTTCTTGGTGCACTTCTTCTGCTCTTGCCCTGGTTTCTGTCCTTCCACTGTCTCCCCACATGTCTTCGCCTTTATTGACTTCTTCTTCTTCTTCTTCTTCTTCTTCTTCTTCTTCTTCTTCCTCATCTTCTTCTCTTCCTGTCCCAACTTCTTGCCTTTTTCAATCTTTTTGGCTTCCTCCTTCAGCTTATACTCTCTTTTCTTCTGCTCTTTTTCTTCCTTCATACGTGCAAAATCTTGTTTCCACTTGGACAGTCCAAACAATTCACTCTCAATCCAAAAGCCAGAGCCCACCATAGAATCAAGGGTGCTCCTAATGAGAATCTTCCAATTATCCCAGCTCGGTACTCTCCATTCCCTCTGCTGAAACTGCACAGCCTCAAAATGTGTATCCCAGTTTCTGGTTTCATCCACGGGCCAAATCTGGTAACGAAAGTCCTCTGCTCCTTTTACCATAGGGTGCACACTGTAAATTTGTAAGCTAGTTTGGCTTAGTGCTGCTGCCCAGTGGAGAATTGGAGCCTCGATCATTTGAAAGTTCGTAAGTCCGATTGGATTGAACCTCTGGGGAGGTGGTGGGGATAACACCACAACCGTTTTCCCTCTTGATACTGACCATGCAAATACTGCAGATGCTCCCTTGATATACCTGGTCCAACTCGATTTAGTTTTATCATGATTTGGGCACAAGGGATTCTTTTTGTCCATGAGAGGCCCCATCACAGTTGTTAAGGTTTGCATATTATGTTCGTCTGCCCATTTTTGAGCCTCTTCACGTAGAATGCCGTTCCATAAGACCTGGACATTGGGTCGCCATGATTGTCTAAACTGTTTGATGATCTGTTTCTCTTCTTCGATCGTGAGGTACTGGCGTAATACCGGCATCGACGAGGATAGATAGCATCGAGCATCCTGTGAGAAGTTCGTCATATCGATTGCGGTTGGCATTGCAGCTATGTTAGAATGATGGTTCATCTCGATTCTAAAACGTCGGAGGAGTTGGTCGAGCTTGTGCTTTATGTTTCCACTCGCGGGTCAGATGGCTTGGGGGATGACGCAAAGCCCTTCACTAGGGTGCGGGGAAGACTGCGATACACGCTCCAGAGCCTTTAGTACGAACCTTAACTGCGTCGACGCGAAACATGCGGTTATCGGTAGATCGATCTGCCGATCTGCATCCACCAACTATCATCTGGGATGCTATGCCCAAGTCGTTTCTCTTCCTGGAATAATCGAAAATAAAATCTGCATTGAATGAAATGGATTCACAAAGATTTGGGGCCCAGATATGGTTAGGCTTGGTCAAAGCGTGCGGTCATGCTACCTTGGCACTAGCGCATACCTCCAGCGGGCTTGGCATGATCGCACGAAGCTTATGGCCAAATCACGACAACCTCACCAACACCATCTAAACCACTCTTCCTTTGTCTCCTTATGCTTAGAAAACGCGTTCGCTCTGAGTCGCCAGGCGAGTTCTCACAATACGCTAAGCGCGCCCGCGTTCCGGCATCCGCGGTACACATCGACAGCGCACGAAAGAGCCAAACCGAACGCTCCCGCTCCGCCGAATGCAAATCCACGTCGCTGTCGCCATCGTTACCTAGTGTTACTCGTGGCCGTAGCCTATCAGTAGGCTCTGATCATCGCCCTGTCCAGCTTACCAAGGAGAACCTTGCGTCGTTCGAAGCGGCGCATTCTTCAACTATGCCATCACAACGCACGGCATCCCCCTCACGAAACGCCAGCGGTGCCAATATCGACGACAAGCAGAAGCTCGACGCGTATAATATAAGGTTCGACGTAGGGGCGATTCTACCAGCGGAGCTGAACACTTTTGTTGACGCGGTGGTGAGGAGAGCGCGTGACGGACCAGCGTCACCTAATGCACAGCGTACGGTGGAGCGACGGCGCCGAGCCGCTCTACAAAATGAGGCTACAGGAATCGCTACATTAGAAAAGTCCCTGCTTTTCGAAGGCCAAGCTGGAGATGAAGAAAATGGAGTTCCTCTGCTAGAGAAGAAGGCGAACGTTAACTTGAGTCGATGTTACTAGCCAGATGCACCAAGCAAGATGGTTAAGAACTCGTGGGGCACTCTGTCTTTGCCGCAACCTGATCGGGCCCTTGGCTATATTACACGGATGGATGCTCAGATGTCCGGTGGTGAAATCGAGGTACCCTTCAATGAGCAAGAAGAGCAAATAGCCGACTGGTACGTACACACCGTGCGATGAGAGATATTCTACCCGGGTTTTCTTTGACATCTTAGGTATCGGCTCTCCACACGTGGTGATCTCCATTTCCCCTTTCTTACGGCGCAGTTCAAATCTCTCTCTGGAGGGGACACTATCTTCCACGCAAATTGCCAGTCCGCCCGCGATGGCGCCATCATCACCAACTACCTTCATAAATTCTACTCAATCGCTTATGCTGGACAATCGCCAACCCGTGAGCCGTCCATGGTTGAAACTTGCCATTTCTCTCTGACGAGTGAGATGTGGAGTCTTGCATTGTGGATACATTGGCGCGAGTTGGATAAACACGGCACAGTGCAATATAGGATGGAGATAATTCATTCAGCAACACTGAGAGATCTGGATGCGCTACTGGTAACAAGACGCATGCTACGAAATATTGTAGACTGGTCGCTCAACGAGCGCCTCAAGTCCATCAAAGCCACGCTTCCGCTATTCTGGGACAGTCCTCTGAGACCGCCTCAGCCCACGGAATTGGGAGCAAGCGATTCTAGCTCGACGCAGACAGGGAGTGCTAGTGTTGCCAGTGCTTCAACGAGTGGAGGAGTGAGGTTTGTACCACCCATGACGCCGTCTAGCGAGAATGGAGACGCAGTAGGTGCAAACAAGAGAAGAAGGCTGGTAGACCAAGGTTGAAAACCAGGAATCCAGTGCAGTGCAGGGCTAGTATTCTATGAACCGTTCACTTATGCACGTAATTGCACTTTTGTGGATGACATTCTGAGCTTCATGCCTGGAGTGATATTTTTTTTAGATACGTACCCACAACAATTCTTCTGGCCTTCAGGAGCAGTTGGCCCTCGGCAAAGTTCTTCGGATGCCAGTGGTAGATACTGGCCGCTTCTTGAGCCGCTTGGTCGTAACATAAGCAAGTTCAGTATTGAACTTGTGCGCTATTGGCCAGGAAATCAGCCCTTGGCGGTTTGGCACGTGATGTACTACTTATGCCGTGACTCGTGTACCCCAAGGTTTAGGTGGGACTTCGTTCAGACCAACCTGCCTGCGGTCATGTTCTAGCGTGGATCCACACGACAGATCCGATCTGACGAAGACTGACGAACCTCTTCCAGACTCTTGGCATTAACCAGGATGAGCCGCGGCCCACATGTTCAACAGCTGCCCTGAACTGTCTTGCAATCATTGGTCTAACGTTATTTTTATAAAGGGAAAAAACCATGGCCCTCTGCACAAGGTTAGTGCCAGTGCGGGTCAGCCGTCCTCCCTGCTTGCGGTGGCGAGCTGAAGTATCTTATGCGTCAATCTACTGCTTGTACAGAGGTAAATACCGCTAATTATGTTGCCACTAAACCCGTTTCGTGTAAGGACGATGTAGGTCGGTAAGTCAATTGCATTAGCCTGCAGCAGTCATTACGGTGAGCTTCTCTATAACTTAGCCAAACGTGTTACAAGTAGACGGAATGTATACGTAAATTGTGCTTCAACATATAATCCACTACTCTTCTAGAAATTTTGGCGCAAAGTCGTTCACACGAGTCGTATGTTGGTCCTCTGTGCTACCACGTAGTCACTCTGTATCAAGCCAACACCAGCCCTCCTGTACTCACCATCCACGCTAGTTGACCTGACAACCAGTACGTAGTATTCCTCAATGTCACTGTTACTCTTCCTTCGCCTTCCCATAACGACACAATCTTCTTTGCGAATATCTTCACCGCCCTCAACGTCATACTGCATCCACCCTCTTTTCACTCTACTAGGATCCAAGACTGCATGCTGTGCCTCATGAACTTCAATCATACAGTTCTGAAATGTCCATAAGTTGGCGATTATGGCATGGCCGTATTCGCGCTCCTCGTCGAACCGGAGGTGATCAATCCAATCAACTTCGCCCAAGGGAATGTCCATAAACTGAATGCCTCCACTATATGCCATCCATGACCAAGATGGCACATGGTAGTCGTACGCAATCTCCTTCATCTTGTTGTTCGATGCCTGCCAAAGGAGGTTCCTATGAAGATACTTTTGGAAGATGCCATATCCGCTGTGGCATTTTAAGGCACCCGCAATACGATCCACCAATCCAGATATTGCAATACATCTATCGCTTGGGACTGTAAGGTCCCGCTTCGAGTAGTCCTGGAATAGAAAGGAAATGCAATTTGGGGTACGTAGCCTGCCGGATTGAAGGAGTCGTTTCGGGAAGTTTGGATCGAGCGTGAAGAACCTGTTTGTGGGAGGGCTGAGGATAACGATGACTAGCTATGAAGATGTCGCCTTAGATGTTTTGAAGCTCTCACCTTTCTAGCCGGGTAAGGTTCTCGCAGTAGACCCCTTTACCACATTCCCAGTATATCTAGTTGGCGCTAAAATGGATTGTCCGTCGCGCCAAAACCCCTTCTTGCATTACCCATGCTCGCGTGTTCAGTTGAGCCTTGCCCACATCGTTGTCAAAATCATCTATATCAGTGCTGGTATAGAACTGCTCGCCTAAGGCATCTTGAACATGGACATACTCAGGAATTATGCCACGCTCAAGAAACCCTGCGTAGGAGTCGATTGCCGCAGTTGCAGCGATTATGCAGTAAGCCACTAAAAAGACGCTCTCCATTCGGCTAGATTCGCGTTTCCAGTCCATACATGGGCAAACCGTTTAAACGGTCGAAATTTTCTCAAACAGTTAAACGGTTTAAAAATATTACAAACGGCTAAACGAACGAATAAACGATTTAAACGAACGAATGAACGACTTATAGTGTTGAGAAATATCCACAGCGCCTACTTGCTCAATACCAGTCGAAATAATGCCCACTATCATCCTCAACATCCTGAGAGTCACCTTCCGGCCGTGGGATTCTGATTAAACCCATCCCGTTCTCATGGAGAGGCCGTATGAGTCCTTGACGCAGCCAATTGCCTGTACATTCAATCATCTCGATAGTTTTACATGTGATTCGTAATCTATCCCATGAACATATCCTTCTTGCCCTAGAAAACGTCCTCTCCGGCTCCGATGACTCCGCTGGGATAGACAGAACACTAATCGCTATGCGGCTAAGTTTTGGATACTGCCTTCTCTGCTGTGGTTGACACCACAACCCCAGAGGCGTACAATCCGGAGGGATATCTGTTGCCATACCGTTAATGAAGCTAGTAAAATCATCACTAACACTCGCATTAATAGTCCTAACCTCCAGCTTCTTTAATAGTATCGCGAGTTGATTCTGCTTCTTTGCTAGTGGTGGTGGCATCGTCGTAGGAGTAGAGGGATATTCGCTGGGGGGTCCGTGATTAAATTCCGTTTGCCAGAATGCTGTGGCCGAGGCAATAGTATCCTCGTGCCATTCATCTGGCCAGTTCTGCTTGATATACGCGATGCGTTTACGGGGATTAAGGAGCAGAGCGGCGGCGTATACAGGAACCTCCTCAGTTAAGCGGTAGTATTTAGAGAGGATAAACCATCCCATATCGATAGCTCGAACCATCTGTTCGTCGTAGTGTTCATCCGATTGATATATCTTCTGATAAAATGTTAGTAATCGACTTGATGTGGATAAATTGAAGGATACCTGTTGTTCTTCGTAATGGAGTAACAACATATCCATTAGCATCAACGATTGTGAGATAGATGAGTCGTCTCCTTCTGCGTACAATGTTGCTGAAGCAAATGGTTGAGGAAACGTGTGTGCTTTGCCTAGCAATTCCCAATCTCTAACTAGTAGCCGGTTGTCTCCGATAGCATCTTCGTGATCAGACATGAAGGACTGGATTTTGTCCTTCTTTCTAATCGCACGATCAATGACCTGATACCAGGACGACCAGCGGGTGCGATTATCTATTCCTAAACGCAGTCCCACTGCCTTATCCCACGCATTCTGGTGGAGGGTTGATAACCTTAGCCACACAGCTAAGCCATGAAGCTTGCGTAATGCAGGGACATTTTCAACGCCGCTAAAGTCTTCAGTCGATATTACGGACGCATTGCTAGCCGTGCTGCCCTTGCGCCTGTGCTTTCTGGCCGGCTCTCCGTTCTTTCTCTTTGCTGTATTTCGTTCGGCGGCAGCCTTCTTTCGATGAGAAGCTAGGACCTCAGAAAACTGAGAGAGAAGCTCCTCTCCAGTGACGCCGGATGCTGCCTCGAGTGCTGCGACGAGAGCCTCTTTAGAAGATGCGAGAAGGAAGGCTTGAAGGGAGAGGTTAATGATATGCGCGATACAGCGTATACGACGTCCTTTTGCGTTGAATTTGATCTGCTTAATGTCAGCCTATAGCTTACACTGCGTAATTAACTAACCCTATGTCTACTTATTAGCTTGCGTTGTATAGACTTAAGACAAGTGTCGTTTGACGTCGCCTTGTCACCCGTGTGCCATCCAAGTTTTAACTGTATCCTATATTTCTCTAGAGTATCGATAACTGCCTGCGCTTAAGCTTCTCCAGAATGGCTCTCTAGACATTCTGGTAGAGATAGTAGTGCCTTACAAAGCCTATAGTCTTTGTCTACCCACTGTGCACACACAGCAAGTAGAGAGTGTCTATGTGGCGATGTCCAGAGGTTCGTTGAGATATGGATCGGACTTGACGTAGTGGTAAGACTGTCCTTGATCTCGCTGCTGTAAAAATCATAGTTTGCTGCAATATATTGGACTATCGTGCGCCGTGAGGTAATGAGGGAGTCTTTGATGTATAGGTTACATGCGAGAGCTAGTTGTTTAAACTTATCCCATTCAATAGCCGAAAAGGGCACTCTCCAACGCGTGAGTATACTGATTAATGCTTCCTGATATGCTTGCGGGTTGAAGGCATTTCGAATCGCATCCTCGCTTGCTACAGGACGAAAATGCGCGGAGATTGAGCGCTGGGTACCCGATACGGACCTGGTGGATCTGGATGCGACGGGATGATTGTTTCTGACGTGATTGGCAGCATTTACCTTATGGTCGTATCGTTTATCTCGACACACGGTGCAAGCATAGAAGGTTTTACCTCCAGACTTGCGTCCGCGTGTATTTAAACGCTCCTTCGTGATCTCCATAATTAAGAGGAAGTTTGGCGGTAATCCATTGACACCTTAGGAGGTTTCCGTAGCATCAATAATAGACGATGTGTCAGATGACATATTGATAGTTAAAAGACGAGGTTTTGAACTTGGTATAATGGTTTGAGACCGATATCGAGGGACTTGAAAGATGTTTCGATTGCCAAGGCTGGAAACCCGTTTAACCGTTTAAACGGTTTTCGAATGCCTATAAACGGTTAAACGGTTAAACGTGCATAAACGGTTTAAACGAAACGATCGAACGAATGAACGAACGGAAGTGCCCATGTATGACCTTACGTAGCGCTAACACGGCAGTTCGACGTGTTCCGGTATTATCGATAAAATGTGCCACTACTCCAAGCACAGCGAGGTGATTCGGCGACGTCCAAAGATCGAACGATAACGAAATAGAACTCCGAGCGTCATGCATGTCGTGTCGTAATCTCTCCTTCCTCTCCTTGAATGCACTAATCACCCGTTGACGAATAGTAGATGCGGCTTTTGGAAGTAGGTTCGCTAAAGGGGGAAATAGCTAAAAGAGGAGATCCCGAAAGTAGCCATTTTCAACCTGGAAGAAAGCGATATGGCAGCAGACCAGCCAGCGGATTAGGAGTTCCTTAAACCGATCTAAGCGGCGGGCGAAGACGATTGACTTCATGTCCTGGTAGTTGGATATCGACGGCTGGCTCGTATCCACCGAGTCTCCTCGGAAGGATTTACTTTCGCCGGTAACCATATCGATCTTATGTGTCGAGTCGAGGTGGTCGAGCGCTGTAGAATTGCCATTCGACACTGCTGGAAGCTCTTGCTGACGGCGCTGTTTTTCACAGAGGTAGCAATACCATACACGTCTCCCATTTTTTTGGCCTGTAGATCTTCACCGTATATCCAGATCACCGACGTTCGCTTCTTTGTTGCTTTAGGGCCCTTCGCTAGCACCGCACAGCGGATATACTGCTCCCCTTGGAGCGTAAACTCATCTGGCTGGATCAGAGCTTCTGGGTCGCGACGGGGGTTAATAGATTCAGGGGCAAGAATAATATTATCAGACTCGGAAGTCTTAGAGGAAGAGCGAGCGAAGAACTGAGTAATTGTTGATGCGGCCATTTTAGGATGTCTGCCGCCGCTGAGTGGGTTCATACCATTTTTAACATATTAGCAGTCGTAGGTCCCGCTGGCCTACCAGATTCATTATTGAATGCTATTAGGAAGTCATTGGACTAGATGAACTCCTTCTGAGAACGCGCTTCTGAGGTAAAGCGTACCCGAAGCAAGAACGCCGAGAATGTGACTCACTCTTCCTTATTAGGTTAAGCTGCTTCCTAATTAGGCATGGTCCATTGGCGCTCCAGGAGCCTCCAGACCTCTCGATCCAGTCCAGTCCAAATTTCTCAAACTCCGGATCCAGTCCAGCCAAATCCAGTCCATCCAAATCCAGTCCAGTGCTAGTCCAGTCCAATTAGATCACTGCTTCGGCTGCCGCAACCGCTCTTCGTATCACAAGCATTTGCGATAGCTTGACGAATTTAGACAAGACTGGCGAGTAGGCAGCAGCATCGTGGAATGCTCCAGCATTCTTCTCGTCAATACCAAGGACGGCGAGGAAGACCACTACTGGGCTTCCAAACACACTTCCGCGAAGTGGATGATCGAGCAAGGATATACAGAGTAGCAGCGCCGCCTGTCTAACGCTTCCGTGTCCTTGCTCTGTCTCTGACAAAGCTTCCTTGCATGTTTGGCTGCCTCATGAATACAGGTTAGCTGTACAGCAGTGTATTGGTGAGGTAAGCGAGCCATTCCACCGTGGTCTTCGTCTTGACTGGTTCGGCACACGAAGCACAGAAGACGCTTCTAAGTGTATTTATAGGCTCGATAGGACTCCTTCTGGAGATTTACTATGAGTGCCTTCTCGCTCGCTCGGCTTGTGTCGTCGCTGACAAAGCTGTTGATTCGAAACTGATCAAAGAAGCCAACCCTATCATCACAAACATCTGCATGTGCCTGATCGACCAGGCGGTCAACGCTCTCAGCAAGAACGCACAGATCGGGCTCTAAGGCGGGGGCGGGCATATGACTAAGACGGGCAGCTTTCAGGAGTGGGACGCCTTTGAACAGCTGCCACCATCGCGTAGCATCCAGCCAAGTGTCAACTTCTGTCGCGACGGTCACACCCGGGCAACTGTCTAATCCAGCTTCTAGCGCTGTCCGACTGCTAGCTAACTCTGCATCGATCAACTCGTGCAGCACGGCCTCTCTAGAGGGAGCTGCCCTTCGTACGTTCTCTCGTAGGACTGGATGACTGACCACATCATTTCCGCTTGGACCAGGAGTAACCTCGAAATACGATGACTGCGCGCTAGTTGCAAAGAAGCGTTGGCAATAGACATGCGTAAAGATAGGGCTGCTATTTTCGTACAGATGTTGTAAAGGCACGTGACGGCCGCCTCTTGTGGTTCGTACTGTACTGTGATTCTGAAAATGTCTTGACATAGTGTTCTCCGCACAAGGCGAAGCTGTCGCTATCTTTGGACACTGAGAGCATTTTAAGCCCTGATGTAGTGATAATCTAGGTATTGGAGATGATGTTGGCGCTGGGTACGGAATCAGGCTCTGTGTTGGGTCCACAGCACCTGGGAATGCTTTCCGAAGCAGCCGAGCGACGCACACTGCCCTCCTGTACCATCGCACGGACGTACGTCTGGGTGCAACTTATGCTGCGCGCGAAGGTGCGTAGTGAGCGCACTGACTGATAGCTTGTGCTACCACAGTACGCGTGCTAGGCGCGACAGATACGCGTTGGTGTGATGTTCCGGGTTCACTTCGGCACATGGCCACAAGCAACTGTGATTGGCTACTCGAACAAATCGACTCAAGCCCATTCAAGCATAGGATGGAGATTTATATTGTGATTAACATGGGTTTATCTGAACTGTGCGCGCGCGAAACTCCAAGTGCTCGAACAACTGTGCAAGACCCCATGTGGCTGTTTCCAGTATAGTCCCGGAAGATTGCTACATGACGTCACATAAGACGGGTGTCATAGCGTGCCCAGACGCGTCGTTCCAAGTACCAGGCGCGTAGACAAGCCGATGACGTAGCCTACTTCGCAACGCGAACAAATCGCAAACCGTGTTTTTGCAACATTAACTCTTTCCTCCCTCTTTAGTATACTCGAGGCCTCTTGATATCCAATCAAGCAGAGGTCGATCGAGCAGTGGAACCTCCGCAATGCACGATCCGCAAGACCTTGACTTTGTCGGGTCGATCCGAGCCTTGATCGTCTCGGGAGAATACCGCTCGCGTGCGAAGTGCCCTCTCCACCCTCCTCGGCTGTGTGCTCGCCTCGCAGATCTTCTCCTCCTCGACATCTTCGAGCAACAGCATCTTCAGCGGCTTGAACGGATGGGCGACTCTACAGTGCATATTGGTAACGTGGGGGACCAACATCGCTATCAACTACGGGAACGAGTGGTCCGACTATGCCCTCGATACGCCAGGTCAACAGGAGAGTATCAGGCGGGACGTCAACTTGCGCGAGGCGCTCGCTAAGAAGGCCAAAGGAGAGGCGGGAGGAGAGACGGGAGGGGAGGATCTCGAGGAAGCTGCGAAACAGGCAAATTCGAAGCTTTATGGAAATACCACGAGGATCATTCATGATGGGACGTTCCACCGTGGACGGCGCTCGCTTGCTGTGCGGTCTGGCAGGCTGCGCTCGTAGCTCTCATCATCTTCTCGCGTGCAGCGGACCCCGCCCTCTCTGGCGCATCGTTGGGAAATGGAGCAAGAACACCCTTCCGCGGTTTGGCGCTCCACCTCGGCATCATATGCACGATCCTCTCGCACTCGTACGTCGGGCCTCCGCTGCGCCTGCACTACAACGGCTTCGGCGAACTCGTCTCTGCGCTGTTCCTCTCGCCCGTCGCTGTCCTTTTCGGCCTTGTCGGCCACTACACAGCCTCAACAGGCCGCCCAGTCGCGTGGTCCGACCTCTTCACGTCGAACTTGCCCACTCCCTCAGGCTTCACGCTGGACAAGTCGCTCTGGCTCCTCTTTGGCGCGTTGTACTTCTACGAACAAGCGAGGATCTTCGTCATGCACATACACGACATTGGCACCGACATCGCCGGTGGAAACGGACGTTCGTCTCGCGCATAGGGCACCGGCGGGCCAAGGACCTCTATGCGGTGTTCAACGTGCTGTCTGTCACGTTATTTGGGCTGCTAGCGCGCACGCTTTCAGGCGAGAGCTACGGCGATCGCAAAAGTTTGATAGGGCGGGCAGGCGGGAAGATGCTCCGGCTCCGAGCGCGTTCGAGTGCCGGACAAGTATGGATAGGCGGCCTGGTCGTGCTGCTGAGCTGCGCTCTGCCTGTGATTTTCGCGACGTATCGCGTGCTCGTAGCGGAGATCCCACAGGCCACTGCTCCTTCGGCGGACGTGCCGGACGCTCTGCCCGATGCGAGCCTCAAGCACGGCTTGACGGATACTGCCGAGCCGGCCCTGCGAAGCTTCCATGGACGCCCAGTCCCGGACGGTAGGAAGGTCTATGAGCCAAGTCGGAAAGCAGGAGGAATATCCATGGGAGACTGTATCAAGTTGGTCTCGCTGCAGACGTTGGCGACGCCGGCGGTATTGACCATAACGGCGTTGTTGGCGGCGTACGTCGGGCAGCGGGCGGAGAAGATGGACGCGTATCTGCACTAGCACAAGTTGCTGGATGCGGAGCGAGCCGCACAAGTACAAGCATCTTCTGCACATCGTTTGTCGCGTTGGAAGGGTGTAGGGTGTAGTAGCTGTTTGAATACGTGATACGCTGACAGAGCCTCCTGGAAATGACGTTATTATAAGAGCACACCTACTGGGCTTGCTTATTTACCTCTTGAGAATGCGGGAATAGACTGTCATGTGGCTGACCAAGCCGCTGGTTGGGTTCTCTAGAATGGGTTCTAATGTGGGTTGACCGTAGGACTTCGATTGTTGCGATGCAACGACTCTACCATCAAATGGGAACGGTGTGAGGGGAAGATGTTGTTGGCCGATTGTGTTGCTATTGCTGTTCAAGACCGTGGTCGACAATCGCGACTCATTCTCGTGGGCTATTTTGCCTCATTCGGAGGTCACAGGGGACAACTTCGAGAGGTTGTGGTACGAAACCGCGCAGAGAATGGGTCATGCACTCAGTGAGATCCATCAGAAGAGCGTTGCTGGAAAGCCAGACTACTTGAAGGCGTTGGACGAGCACATCAAGTCCGCGGCTGACTGGCGGGCACAGAACGAGTAAACTTCGGCTCGCTGAGCATGAGAGCTCTCGCGCGAGTCTCATCAGGCCTTGTTGGGTGTGTTGGAGTGGCACTACTCGTATGACAGTAGTACGCCAGGTGTCTGTGAGGTGGTTCGTGCGAGCGGTGATACTGATCAGCCCGAGGGCTTGTTGATGCGGGACGTCGCGAACATTGTTGGTTGGCGGTAGGTAGACAACAAACCCCGCTGGTGGCTGTGCTCTGACTGTTGCGCCTGGGGGCGTCTTGATTCCGTCATTGCGTCTTGCGCTACTTTGTTGCCTATGTTGGATAGATGTGTTGTGCGCAGACTTGTCAACAATCAAGCCAATCAAGCCGATCTAACCATGTTTAGTAAGATCTTAACCTATGCGAGCTAGTGAATTGCCATATTGGGTTAGACCGGCTTGATGAACTGGAGTGTTGACAAGTCTAGTCGTGCGGTGTAAGTTTAACATGCTCGCAAGTGCTATACCTGTCCCTGCCAGTTCCATCTCTTGGAAATCATTTTGCGATCGTCTGCGGTGTCGAGGAGCGAAAAGCAATCTGCATAACGATTGGCAAAGCGGCTGAGAAGCGGCTTACTGTGATGCAGTTTAGAAGCTTATACACATGACCAGTCTGAGAGCGCAGTTGATCGTCTCGAGCGCACGTAGATTATGACCACAGCTCCGAGCAGTATCTCCATCCACGCATATTCTTCACGGAACGGCTCCAGAATCTGGCCAACCCAATCATTCTAGTCATCGTCCCATCGTCCGCAAGCAAAGATAGCTCGGGCGTACTCCCAGTAGCTTGGGTACCAGCCGGCAAACTCCCAGTCTATGATGACCAACTCGGAGTGCGCACTGTCGGGTTGCGTCTCCCGCTTGCGTATAAGAATGTTCCTCCGTTGAAAGTCTGCATGCGAGCAGAGTTGCCAACAAGCAAGCCAATCAAGCTTTTGACGTCGGCTTGGCGTGAGGCTCGTTCTTGAAGCTTGGATATAGGCTTGGATTACAAGCTTCTGGTGTTCTGGGCGGCTTGCTTGAAACTCGGCTTGAAGGCTTGATAGATTTGTGTACGATAGACCGCCCGCCTATACTGATTACATGTCGTCTTGATCCCAGTCGCATACGCCGTACAACGCGTCTATCTGGTGGTCAGATACTAGTTTTGTCGCCCCCGTTTTGCCCATGCCGAAGCCAGCTTTCTGCCACCGTCGTACGCACTGTATTGCCGCCAGTAACTGGGGTGATATCGCCCGTCTTCGCGGCTCTAATAGATTACCGAGCTCACTAAACATGCGCTCACAGTCGCAGCTTGAAGCTGGGGCTGATATGACGTCAATCGCGAGCTGGGCAAGTCGTGGGTAGCGGTCGCGTTGTTGTATCCAGTATTGTATCGGGTTATTGGCGACTTCTGAGCCTTTCTCCGCCCGCGGTTCTCATCGTTTCCATCGCTCGTATTCGTCTAGATCGTCAGCGCTGGCGCTAGAGGTGGCCTTTGGATCGATAAGGCTGTCGATCGCGTCGTCAACATCGTTAGTAACGACCCATTGGGAACTTAGAAAAGGGAAGACGAGAACGGGGTTGAGCGTAAAGTCAGCAAGCGCAGTTTCTTCGTCGGGAGTGAAGGCGGTCTGCAGTGTGAGCTCGAAGGCCTGCGAAGTGGACAGATATCCGATGATGGTATCAGCCTGAGGCTGTGACAATCGGGGCAGCGTCTTGCCCGAAGGCGGTGGAGGAAGGAAGTCGCGTGACATGAAGTCGAGTGTGCTGGAGATCATAGGCATTCGTTACCTCGAGCCATTGTTACTCTTTGCTGGCGAAGATGACTCGAGAGCCATCAACTCCGTGCCTATGTTCTCATTGTCGAACGAGAGTCATCTCTCTTGCGTGACAGTATTGTGTCCAAATGGCTCTGAAGATGGGCCGGCAGTGCGCGTTGTGTATCGACATCGATGCGGTAAGCTCGGCAGTGTGTCCATCAACCAAGTAAGTTACTTGCTTGACACCAGGGCGCTAGAGCACTACAGTGGGCCGGACTAAATTAGTTGGAACCTTAAGCACCGACGCGCAACACTGGCCAATCACTCCAAGACGATCTGCTTACGTTAAAGCAACCGGTTGAACCGGTCGGTCCAAAGGGCCCACAGTTGCTTGGAGCCCTGGTGTCAAGCAAGTAACTTACTTGATTGATGGACACACTGAAGCTCGGAGCGTGGCGCGCGTCCTAGGCGCTGCGCGTCGGCCAACATGGCTGCAATCGACACCGATGCTAAATTGCCTGCTGGATGGCCTTCTATCTGACAGCAACACATGCTATCTGACACATCCCCATTGACATACCCATCTCGCAACCAACCCGCTTCTGGACAGGTAAGAAAAGCTTCCTGTGAACCTTTTTCGCAGTCACGATCTTTGCGCACAAATCATTTGTTAACTGTCTTGTCAAGTCAGGATGTCTTAATAATAAACCGCCCCTGGGTGATGAACTACGCAAGACAGTCCAATCAAACTTGATTGATAAGGCTGGCGAGGACGATGTCAACACCCTTGATGTCCAATATGGATGTCTCAGAAGGGAGAGTAGCACAGCCGAGAACACTGATATTGATATGAGCCCCTCGCTGTCTGGGTCTTCTCGAATAAGCAGGTACTTTTGAAGACATATTTTTTTTCATTCGACTCATCAAGACTAGATCTGTTCCTCACAAGACGCCCCCAACGACTTCTCCCTGAGGAATTGCTCTAAACGAAAATCTATCATCCAAGATGTCCTACACGAAGCCGATAGCAGACTTGTCAACAATCAAGCCGATCAAGCCGGTCTAACCTAATATGGTAATCCACTAACTCGCGGAGGTTAAGATTTTACTAAATGTAGTTAGATCGGCTTGATTGGCTTGATTGTTGACAAGTCTGGCCGATAGAGGCTGGGTGATCGAAAATAGTGAGGATGGTGAAGGCAGCAGGAGAAAAAGTCGCAAATGGCACCCACATAACAAAACGTGGGCACACAAAGTCCCACATACACAAGTTAGTCTTATTCAAAGTATTTTCACCAGCCCACTGACTTTCTGATAGAGTTTCTGTAAGGGGCTACGCAAATGTTGCTGATGCCTGGTAACAGGATTGTATTCGATGCCCTCCTATCTACTGCTCATGCTGAGTCTATAAACACCCGGTAGTACTGTGTTCGAGAAGCTTCTAGCGATTCCCAGAACACCAAGTAAGCCCGAAGGTTCCACCGAGGAACACTACACTAACTAGGCTCTAGCCTATCACAAGGTATTCAAGCTCGCCGTAAATGGGGGTCGTTCAATAATCCTGGCCGAAGGGTTAAAATATGGATGTGGTCTTCAGTAAGGGGCCGATGAATTCCCTTGTCTGTTAAGAGGTCCATGTTATGTCCCAAAAGAAGCTTCAGAGACGTTATGATTCTGAAGTGTACGTAGAATTTCGGCCAAGACAGATATTCGGTACCATCTCGGGCGGGGTACGCCAAGTAATTCCGCCGAACTTTGCCATGTAATGGATCTGCGATGGCGGCAACGCCTCCATCGCAACCTCAACCCTGCTATCCTAATGGCCATTAGCGACATATCACGTCGGGTCGCTATGTACGTCAAGATCGCTGATATTGAGGGAAACACTCTTAGTAGACACGTTACTTTGGGGCAAGGGTTCCGTTCCCGGTTTCAGATCCTCTCGCTCTGCCGAGATCCGATCTGGTGGTTGTGGCTAAAAATGTGGCCGGATTCTCTTGGCAGCCTGCCTAAGTTGCGATGAAGCCTATCTAAACCTCTTTCTTTGTCCACACCAGAATAAATATAACGCCTCTGGCGCAACCCTGTGGCCGGTGCGGGTCGGCCATCCTGTTAGTGCGGTCGAGGCTTTCGCCCACATTATGTGAAGAGCTAAAGGCGGCGATTCCCCGTTGATAGATCTGTTGTAAGCCTAGGACGATATTATATGATTTCTATGCAGGCATGACTACTGCGTCTGACTACTTTAGAGCTCAGATCACGCACTTGTACATATACACAACAATACGCTCATACATGAGACCCAATACTAGTGCTTCCCTTGCCTACAGTAATACTAATTCTATACGCAACATATGGTGGGGCTGATCCGCTCGCTTGTGTGATCCACTCGCTTGTGGAACACGTTAGGGCCTGCATTATACATCGCGCTAGACAGAAATCCATCGAGCGGTGGCGTATGCACCTGGAAGCTTCTCTTCTGGCTCACTATCATCTGCTGGCCAATGTTAGAATTCGTTAGCTCTCTGCTGTGTCGGGTAGGCTGTGTTCAGCCGCCGAAAAAACCGCACCTGAAGTTGTCCACGATCGGCTCAGACGAGCAGTCATCAGCTGTAAAAAGGAAGTCACAATGTGATCTTTGCTCTCTCCGGGGGCCAATCAGGATATGCAACATATACGTAACCATTACAATTGTACACAAAGTATTACGCAAATAGGAACGTCATTGAAAAACTGTCAAAAACTGTAGACATCCACGGAGCGAGACTCCAGCCAATCACACTACCGTGTCTGTGCGCGTGATGATCATGGTCGAGTGATGATCACCCCACCAACAATCCTATCTATCGAAAATGAGGCTGTACAACCACCGCAAATCGTGATTATCGTAAGATTTCTTGATGTATTAACGTGTTCCACCAGTCCTCGGCCCACCCCACCAAATCCTCGCAACTCCGTCTGCGCCAACGACCATGGCTCAACAACCACGTGCTCAGCAAACCTATCGTGAGGGTAGAACTCTTCTAGCATCTCGTGCGCTCCAAGAAAAACGTGTTACAAGCCAGCGCCAGGCTGCCTCGTTGTACGACGCTCCGCGAACAACGCTCCGACGCCGATGTCAACGCGTCCCTACAATTAAGGACTTCAACGCCCAGAAACGGAAGCTAGACCCTATCGAAGAGCAGTCTCTCGTTCAATGGATCCTAGACCTCGATCGACGAGGCTTTCAGCCCCAGGTCATCGACGTACGACGAATGGCAGACGCTCTTCTTGCCGCGCGCGGCCAAGATCCACCTCCACCACCTACAGGCAAGAACTGGGTGTCGCGCTTTGTCAACAGCCAGTCTGAGCTACAGACAAAGTGGAACAGGAAGTTCCATAGCCAGCGCGCTCGCTGTGAGGATCCTGTCGCTATCGCAGCATGGTTTAAGCTTGTAGAGGAGACGCGCCAGGCGTACGGTATACTAGACGACGATATATATAACTTCGATGAGACTGGCTTTATGATGGGCGTCGCCGCTACGTCTAAGGTGGTCACAAGCTCAGATACAGTAGGTCGCGCTACCGTCGTACAGCCAGGCAATTGAGAGTGGGTTACCGCGATTGAGTGTATCAACGCGTCTGGCTGGTGTCTCCCACCCTTCATGATCCTGTCTGGCAAGCAGCACCAGGCTAGCTGGTACCGCCACCTCCCGCCAGACTGGGTTCTGGTCCACCGGCAGCTACACATCTGTCGAGTCCAAGAGGCCAGATGTAGGCACGACATGCCGACTGTATTACAAGGAGAAGAGCAACTGGGCTCGACTGGTCAATCATGCCTGCAACCCTTGTGCTGAAATGACGGTGAAGATTTTCTCCGGCAGAGCAAGACTGATGCTTCGCGCACGACGAGACATATGGGATGGCATGGAGATCACGGTCGATTACGGGAACAGTTTTCCCAGAGATGAAGCATGTTTGTGCGCGACATGCAGCGAAAGCGCAGCATCGAGAAACGACAAAAGCTAAAGCAACAGACATAGCAGGCATCAATCGCGTCTAGACGCCAGGTTCACGTTGCGGCATTGCTGGACATCACTCTTGAGGGGCGATGCCGTATGATTGACAGCTCGAGCAACATACCAGACTCGCTCAATATTGCTTGCCCTTGGCTTTATTGTATACCTTGGCAATATTTGCGATCTCGGCGCTGTGCCCACAAAACCTCGGATCATCGAAGCAATGAGCCCAGATCGTTTACTAAGACGCGGTGAGGACTGTTGTGCCTCCCGAGGTAGTTACGTTCGCCGCCCCAGCCCCTGGGCAGTGTGAAGAGAGAGTCCCGTTGTTGCATATGTAGCTGCCCACCTGCGCTTTGAAGTCGTCCGACATCTGATCCAGCCCAGGATACCACGTCTCTTCGCCTCCTTGATCCGTGAGCGGCGTGTTGCAGTTGTCATTACTAGATAGTTAGGGCTTTGAATACGCATCTGTCACGAGACCAAACCTACCTGTAAAACTAGCAACACAAGCCTAGCTCGATGGCGATGGAACTAACGTCGTTTAGCTGATCGGTGGCGACACAGCGATCTGACGAAGTGATTAGTACACTGCACTCTCTAAGCTGTGTTGGAGCGGAAGTGAAGCTAGGGTGGGCTGTTATCGGTAGGAGCGGTCGCCTAGTGCTTTGTTGTCCTACCTTTAGTACGCAATCCGCCTACTCGACTTAGTTGTTCTAGAGCGACACAATTGCTGTTTACGCGAACGCTTTAGCGAAGAGCGCGCTCAGGATGGACATGTGTAGAAATCGCATATTAAAGTTAGAAAATACCTTAATTCAAGCCTGTATATGCGGTCAGTCAACATCAGCACAGAGCCACATTATATACTCGACGCCTAATACAGTAGTATCTGTTTCCTTGCTAGATGCATCCTCGAGACGACCTTAGTTTGTGTAGGCGTAATGCCAGTGTGCGCCATGGTCCATGGAGGGAGCTCCTTGGCCTCCCTCCTTACTCCCTCCCTCCTTGGCCTCCATGGAGCTCCGCCGGAGTTGACGGAGTTGCTAAGCTTTTACCCCACACTCACACTAATCGTATGAGGCGTAGGTTAGAGCGCGGCGTAAAGCTTAGCCTCACCGCTGCTATCAGAACGCGGGGAGCACGGGCCATGGTGTTGTTAGAGGAGGTGAACAATATATTGTATATATACTACTTAATCTATCGTTCTTTTATCAAACCCACCACTAGAGTGTATATCTCAGTGGTAGAGCGCTGTCAGGTTAATTGTTCTGGCGAGGAGAACAGTGTAAATTAAGGCTTCCAATCAGTAAGTCATACATGGGCAAATCGATATGCTTTAGCGTCGATATATCGATATATCGATATCGATATGGATTTTGAGGCTGATTTCGATATCGATATCGAAACTCACCCGTTTTCGATATATCGATATATCGATGAAAAAGCTTGGCAGCCCTTACTGTAACACGGGACGGCAGAGGCTGAGCGAGGAGGACGATTATGGTCCCAACATGTTTGCTTCTCTCGCTCGCGCCTTGGCCTCTGAACCTGCTCATAACCTGCGCTCCGCGCGTTAGGAGATGGACAAGAATTATTCTCACGACCTCCCTACCTAGTGTAGTAATACAAGAGCTTTCCCCCACTATTCTCTTGTAGTGTGAAGCAAATACTATTGCCTATAACTACCCCTCACACTTAAAACCTAAATATCTCTGCAGATACGTACTTTTATCCCTTAATATCTATCAACAAGCCGTTTTTTAACCTGATTAGTACTACTTACCTATTACACCATGGAGTCCTTTTTATCATCAGATGTCGCACCATCTAGCTCTGCTAGCAACCCAATTAAGTTACCTAGTAACTTCTGGGATGTCATGGAACGACGTACCGTACCAAGCCAGAAACGTGGATCTCAAGGCACTCAAGAGTTTATATGCATGATGCATCCTCAATGGGGCCCTCAAACATCAAAATCTAATGCTTCATATCATTGTCGCACCCAGCACCCATTATCTCAGCAACAGCTACGTCAGCAGCATTTGAACGACGCAGATACGTCATTATCTCGAGGCCTTTTACCTTCAACCGCGGCCCTACATCGTACGTTCGATAGGGAAGCCTACAAAGAAGCAGTAGTTGGATTACTTACCCGACGGCGCCTACCATTTAGCAGTGTTGAGTGGCCAGAGATGCAAGCTCTACTTCTAGCCGCTAATCCTGAAAGTGGCCATTTTCTCATCAAGTCTCGACGCATTGTTATACGTCTTATGGCTGCTAATTACGTCATGTACCGAGATCAGCTTCAAGATACTCTTACCATGGCTCGCAGCCCGATTCACTTACAAACAGATATCTGGACGTCGCCCCATCGAAAGGGCATGCTTGCTATCTGCGGGCAATGGATCAATCACGAATATAAGCTTCAAAAAGCCTTGTTAGGCCTAGTGGAGTTACCAGGAGACCACTCAGGATCATCTCAAGCATCCTTAATCCATCGGGTTCTTAAACAATACGAGATCACGTCAAACCTTGGGTGGTATACAGGCGACAACGCGACGTCAAACGACACTTGTCTGGAATCTCTGGCATCTCGATTACTTGAAGAGCATCAGGTTTGTTTTCTACGTTTTCTAGGTATCTTGCTAACACTATATAGGTTAAGTACGACCCTAAAAGGCGCCGTATACGCTGTATAGCCCATATCATCAACCTATCCCTTCAAGCCTTCCTCCTCGCGTCTTCTAAAGAAGCTCTTATCGCCGCGTTGTCCGCAGCAGCTGAGGTCGATGGAGAGGAACTTTTTGATAGGTTTTCCCTTATCTCAAGCTCCAATAACTCGAAAGACGACGCTCGCGGCCGTAAAACTTGGCGAGCAACCGCGAAAGGCCGTGGATCGCGACAGGCGAGCCAGAATCCTCAACACCAGGATTTCGATGGGATAGGCCGATTACCTGCACTCGAAAAGCTTCACGACCTGGGTATCTGGATCCACCGCTCACCACAACGCGATAAGGACTGGCTTGAGGCTATTGGGATACAGATAGGGATTGATAATATAACGCGGTGGTCATCGTGGTATCTGTTTATCGATAAAACACTGCGGAAACAGAGTGAGATTAAGGTCTTTCTCGTTGATCACGAAGACGACCTAAATGGCATTAAGCTTACTGCTGAGGATTGGGATATCCTTAGCAAAGCTCACTCATTCTTGCAACCGTTTGCAGGTGCGACTCTACACGCAGAAGGGGATAAGTCATCAATTGGACAGAGCCTTGAGATTATGGATGTTCTCCTCTACCACTATGAACAAGAGAAGGTAAAGTAGACGTCTTATTAGGTATCTTTACTAATAAGTTATTAGGAAAGGTACTCTACGCCTGGTCAAGAAGATCCTCAGATGCTCCACGCTATTAACATGGGATGGTATGTCCTTAGTAAGTACTACGGCCTCACAGACGAAGCACCTGTATACGCCGCAGCCCTTCTTCTCGATCCTTCAAAGCGGTCAGCCTATATCAAAAAGAACTGGACCCGAAGCTGGATAGCGCCAGCAATTGATAAAGCTTATACACTTTGGGTAGAGGATTATAAAATGGCTTTAATCCCTGGTTCCGAACCTGTTCAACAGCCCCAACATTGAGATCTCTCTGGGTTTGATCGTTTACGCCGCAACTTAGCTGGAACGACAGCTAATGAGGATGAGGATGACTTTAGCGTGTTTATTGAGGCCACACCCATTGCGATTAGCTGTACAGCTTTAGAATGGTGGTGCCACGAGGATCAGAGACGCCGATATCCAAAGCTTAGCCAGATGGCTATCGATATACTCTCAATCCCTGCTGAATCTGCAGAGGCAGAAAGGGTGTTTTCAGGTGCAAGAAGGACTTGTAGATACGATCGACTCAGGCTATCGTGTGCCAATATCGAGAAAATCGAGTGTATTGGTAGTTGGCTTCATCAGGGATGTCAAGATGGGCGATGAAGACAGTGGTCATGTGACTGATGTTGCATGACTACTTAGCGTCAGTACTTAGTCTTAGGTCTCACCTTGACAATACGATAACTCTTACACCCCCCCAAGTTTTGACAAGGGATTAATTACGCCTTCATCCAGGTCCGGAAGGGGGTTTCAACTTGAACCAGGCGAAAATGAGGCTATCCAGGGCTGGACAGATGAAGTGATTGATGAGATAACGTGGTTTGAGGACACTTAGCTAGCTAATTGATTTTTTATAGCTTATGTCATCGATAACGATCGATATCGACGTCGATATCGATATAAAAAACTTCAAATCGATATCGATATGAAATCTGCTATTTTATATCGATATCGATATGCCCATGTCTGCAGGCTCAACAAGCCAGTGCTCAGGCAAAAATTTGTGAGGCTCTGGCCAGTAGTTCGGGTTCCGCTGGACCGCGCCGTGGACAACCCAAAGGTTAATATCTTCAGTTGGGTATTTATTCCCACTCTTGTCGCGCAAGAAGACACCCGGAAGACCGCCTCTCATGCCCGAAGCTGGTGGAAAGAGCCGTAACGTCTCTTTGATCACCGCGGTCGTGTACGGGAGCCTGTTGATTTGCTCTGGGTGCTTTCTAAGCACACCTGCAGCCGAGTCGATGCCCTCGCCAAAGATGTCATCGAGCTCCGCGCGGACTTTAGCCAAAGCGTCTGGGTGCTTGGACAACATGTTGAGACTGTATACAATGGTAGCAGCGGTTGAATCGTGCCCAGCGAAGAGGAACAACCGAATTTGAACCGTCGCCCATTTTTTGAACTCGGGGTCAAGCTTCGCCGCTCCTTTGCGCTCGCCCATGTACGCTGCTATTACGATGTCCATGACTGACTTGGCACGAGTGGGCGGCTCGTTGGTCCTCCAATCCTCATATCGCTTGTCCAGCTCGGTGCTGAGGTAACGATCCATTGCCTTGCCGTTAGACCATTCAATTAAAGGGCGCATAGGGTTCCAGCGCTTGAACGGGTTCAGCTCCTCGTCCTGACAATGCCATTCTATGGAGCTCCTCATCGCAGCTGCAAGCGCATTGTGACTGGTCATGGAGTGGAGGCGGGTGTTGCTGGTATATCTCAGTACATGAATCCAGTCTGACGACCCCAAATTGTACTTACATGGTAATGGCACCGATGAGGTCCATCATGTAGTCACATGTCAGTCTGTCCAGCGAGAAAGTGTCGCCTTTCTTCGCATGCTCTCGCAGCAACGCCACGTAGACTTCAGCTTCGTCGATGATGTGCGGCGTGCTCTCGAGTATGATATTGGCACTGAAGCCTGGGTTGAATAGCGCTCTCGAACGCTTCCACTCGGCCCCGTTCATATCGAACAGATTCGGGCCTCCTGCAAACGGCGCGAAGAATGGAATCAGAATCGCTGGTTTGGGGAGATCATGTTCTTGACATGCTTGCATTGCCAGCTCGGGGGAAGTGACAACAATCAGCGGACTGCTAAAAGGCCAAAGATCGACATAGAAGCAGTTATCCGAGTCTTTGAAGTCGTATGATAGCAAAGTGAAGGCATCAGATTGCTGTGAACCTTTAGAAACTTCTCAAAAAATCCCGGCAATGTTTTCAAGTTACCGGCTGCGAAATCCCACGGCGGCATTGGCTTTTAGTTGTGTCGCGTTAGCACAGGATTTGCAACATGTTTGGAAGAGTTCGCATACCAGACCCTGCTTTTTGAGCTTATAGAAGATCATGCGCATCTTTACTAGCTTGAATATGAACATACCGGACGCGGTAACGACTGCAGATAACGCAATCTGCCATGTCGTACGCTTGAAGTCGAACAAATCCATTGTATACATGCTCTGCTTCCTCCTATCTCACGCACAACGGTGTCGTTCGGAACGCGCAATTTCTGAGTAGCTTCTCGCTGTGTAATCGACATTCACTACTTGGGACGCAAGAGCTTTTCAATTCGAGATGCGCATCGATAGAAAAGGGGTACGCGAGGTGCGCGTTGTTACATTATGCGTGGAGTCGGAGCCTTAGCCATGTTGGTGGTCGCGCTGTTGGTGCTGACAGGGCGAAATCCTCCGGGGCGTTGCGGCACAGTTAGCCACCGGCTGTTCCTGCGCTATCACAATGTTCCGCATCCTTTGCTCACGATACGGGGTGCCTTGCACGTCAGGCGAACTGCATCCCGCATATTCCATACTAGTACTTTGACATGCTAAACCTTAACTCCGCCCACTTCGCAACAACTTCTGCCTTCTCAGCGTCGGTTGCACCCCGATAGCTGACAGCCGATCGGCGTAGCTGTATGAAGAAAATCTCAGCTTGAAGAGTAGTGAGGTGCCGAGCCAAGAGCCCCTTCTCGACACCTTTCAAGAAGTAGCCTGGCAGACCAAAGATAGCTAATAGGGTCAGATAAGCAGGTTCCGCGGCATCCTAAGCGTTTGGGGCTTTGACTCACCAGCCATCGAATGGCAATACAACCCACCGAGACCTCTCCCAATCCCCTTGCCAAAACCGAGCGCACCTTCTTGTTTCGCACCAAGGTATGGATGCCTCACGATGCCTAGCAGTGCATCACCGAAGCCGAGCACAAGCTCCTTTCCTGCGAGCTTACACCCACTGCCAAAACCGGTGATCTCATCTCTCCGCCTGGCCGGGTCATTATGTATGGCGTATGAGGGCAAGTTCCGAAAGCCATTCGCGACATTGTAAAAGAGAGCGACCGGAGCTTTGGCCCCCGTAGCTGCAAGATCACCAACGTAATGGGCGGTCGCGCTAGTGATCTGGTACCCACGGCCACCCTTGGCTTTCCTTGCGGCGACTTTTTCACGCAGTGCTGTTATCCCGGGGTGACTTTGCGGCTTCTCAAAGTTGTGAGTGTAGTCTTCATCGCAAGACTTCGCCGCCATCCTGTACGCCAGGTGATGGAAGTGTTTTGAGGTGATGCCCTTCTCCACACTGACCTCATCTGGCTCATCGCTCTTCAGCGTTCCTCGCGAGAATTCGTTGTCCGTATCGCGTGGTCTCTTCTTCAAACGCTGCGAGAACTCGGCCGTATCTGTGCCAAGGGAAGCTATGAGTCCTCCGAAAGCAGCCACAACACCTGTGAGTGGCCCTTCGGCTCCTTCGTGGGTATAGTAATGCCGGTGTTGCAGTAGCCGTAGATGCCTCAAGTCCAACAGTCTCTGTTCAGCGAGCGCAGACGCTGCAAAGCCACTCAAATGCGCCCCAGTCTGTTTGTCACGCCATATCGCCAGTCGCTCCGGACAGATATGACATCGCATTCCATCGATATCCAGTCTCTGCTCAAAGTCTCGCATCGTATCTCCAGCACCGTCTTCTTCCGCAATACTCTCAGCCATCTTCTGTACAGCGACTTTGACAGATTCCTGGAGCGCAAACGTTATGCTTTTGGCAAGGCTCTCCGCAGTCATCTGCTTGAACGGAATAGGCATCGGGCCGGCGCCAGCTTTGGCGATCATCTGTTACAGAGGTTAACACGGTTCGATTATGCATCAATACAAACTTACCTGTCCCCAGAAGGGTTGATCGCCGAAGAAGGGCACAACCACGGTGGGCCTTCCCAAGGCAATCCCAGCAGCCGTTGTGCCAGCACCTCCATGATGCACGACACACAATACTCGTTGGAAGAGCCAGTCATGAGGACAGTTACCAATGAGGTAGACGTCATCAGGCACGTCTCCTACGCCCACACCGCCCCATCCCTTGGACACAATTGCCCTAACTTTCGCTAGCTTCACGGCGTCAAAGATGAGCTTAGTGAGAGCCACCGGGTCATCCACCACTATGCTACCAAAGCCGATATACACTGGAGGCGGACCTTTACCGAGGTATTCGACCAGGTCCTCGGGTGGCGTGTAGCCTGAACCAGCTTCAAGGAACGAGAAACCGGTGATGTTGATGTGTGAACCCCAGTCCGGTGGCCGCGGTATCAAAGCTTGAGACCACAGATAGCTGTAGGGAACACGAAGCCTTGTAAGCAAGTGATGGCCCCACAAAGGACTAATCGCGTCTAGATGCAAGGTCTGCGTTCTGAACTTGTTGATGACGTCCCCGAGGCCTTGCCAAGTTAGCAGCTCCATGATGCTGAAGCTGAAGTAGTTGGCGACAGACATCTCGACCTCACCGTATTCCATGGCCGCTAGAGGATGATGAAAGGCTTTTGTTGGTGACCATGGCATCGTGAAGACCATGTGCAGTGGAATGCCAAGCTTCTCTGCGCAATGGATGTGCCCCATCGAAGGAGGGTTCGCAATAATAGCGTCCGCAATGAAGAGGTCTTCGGGCGCGTCTACATTCAACGCTGGAACCTTCTCGCCCATGCCATCGCCGGCCTCAACACAGCTTCTCCAGGTCCCATCCATCATCTCGGCCATCTCTTTTCGTCGCTTGCCAATATCTCCAGCTTTGATCGACTGCATATTGGGCAGAAGGCCTGGGTTCTTCACCATGTACGCCATTAGGGCTTCCGGATCGCCACCGATGGAGAAGAACTCCACGCCATTGCTTTCCTACAAACGGTGTCAGTGCGTTGCATGCAGCGTAAATCCAAACGCAACAGCCACTCACCACAAAGTCCTTGAAGGCTGGATGTGTACAAATGCGCACTCGATGGCAATGTGGAGGGGCCTGAAGCAGCTTTGCAATCGGAATGAAGGGCTGCACATCACCTCGCGAGCCGCAAATATGTATCGCAATGTTCAATTGTGGCGCGCCAATGTTGCTCGTCTTGTCGCTGATGAATTCATCCACAAGCGCTGTGCTTCCCCTTCGCGGTTTCGCACATCGCGCCGGTCGACATACGGCGGCGTCCTTCTGGACTGTATCGAACCAGTACCTGACGTCGGTCGTGTTCTTGTGGAATTGAATAGCGACCTGACCAAACGTGTTTACTCGTCCGGTACCTTGCGCCTTACCGTCACGGTATTCGCCTCGTTTATGCTTTCTGCTGAAATCGAGAGGCATTGCGATACCGGTTGCAAGTGCTTGCTACATTGGGCCCTCGTCAGGATATAGAAGTTCAGAGATGACCAGATAAATGACGGAAATGAATTCTGCTCAATGTTTGTTCGAGTAAGCAGTCTTTCTGAATCGACTCTAGCGCATGGTTATACCTCTTACCTCTTCGGTTCGCAATCTGCAGGTCGCGGACCCTCTACGGCGAACCGAGCCAAACACAACGCGTTGCCACGTCCACCGAGGGGATCAACCGTCCCCCGCAAACTTTCGCACGAACAAAATGTGCTCGGCCGGGCCTTCACAATAGTCTGGACCCAAATCTCACTACATCGCATTGCGGCGCAAGGATTGTCCGCATTGGCATGCCTATCAAACTTTGTCGAAGGGTCGCATAAGAAGGCTTCACGACCTCTAGCTCAGCAACGCGGGACCGCTCGGAGCTCGGGCAATATGTGAAGCGATACGGATTCCACGCGTAGTTACTTTCGACTCGAATACAAGTACCTGTACTGCACGCGACACCAGTCGCGCACACACATTCAGCCATGGCCGACAACCAAGAGAAGGGTATCGTGGGGCGAGCACGTGGAATGTCGTTGTCGTTACTGCACACGACGCCGCAGTTGGGCATGTGGCAAGCCACAGCAACAGCCATGGCTCAAGCACCAAATTTGACTGAATTGAGAGAGCCGGAATCTGGCGGCTCGAACATCACGTTTGATGCACATGGCCATGCAACTCGTATCGCGGTACCAGATGACGACGGCGAACTCACCTTGGTCAAGTCGCAGACGAGGATCCTCAGTCGCCCAGCAACAGACGCTGATTTACCGGGAGAGGTACACAATAAGGCCGAGAAGCATTCTCGAAAGCATCATGGCCACGGATTCCATCGGCGTCCGACTCTGAAGGAGAAACACGCATCCGCCCACAAGGAACCATGGGGTTCTACCATCAAGCATGGTCTCAAGGCGTTCTGGGTCTTCTTCCTCACACCATCGGGCTTCCTGATTACCATTTATGGCCTCAACATTGTTGTACGTATGCGCTCGCTTCATTGACAACGATGCGCACTAATAATACAAGGCATGGGGCGCAATGCTTTTCTTCCTGCTCCTCAATGCCGCGCCGGCCATGTGCCACCCCAGCTGCGACGACGACAACAGCGCGCGGAAGATCTGGCTGGAGATTGATAGCCAGATTCTCAACGCGCTTTTCTGCGTCACGGGCTTCGGCCTAGCACCCTGGCACTTTCGCGACTTCTACTGGGTGTTGCGCGCCGTGCACGCTCACGATGCAAATGCCATGCGCCGCCTCTTCAATCAGAACAAAGCCTGGTTCCGCCCACCGGCTTGGTTTACGGATAACGAGGGCTGGCGCGGAGAGGAAGAGCTACAGCCTGCGACGTTCACTGGAATGAGGGCGCCGCCTACAAGTATGTGGAAGTTGGCGTTCACGGTGGACATGATGGTGTTGAACACGCTGTTGCAGGCGGTGCTTTGTTTCTTCATGTGGCATTACAATCGATTAAATCGGCCGACTTGGGCAACCGGTACCTTCATTGCTCTTGGATGCGGCGTTGCGATGTTCGCGGGTATCATGTCTTGGTGGGAGGGGCGGAAGGTGAAGAAGATCGAAGGCCCGGAGATCAAAATAGAGGCCAAAGCAGAACAGTCGGTTGAGGATAGCGGAGTCTAGCAATTACGTCAACGATGATTCGACTTACATACCTAACCTCCCTCCCTACGCGGCGAACAACCCGGTGGGCCGAAACCAGCCAATAAGAGCGCAAGGTTAACAGATATCCCGACCTTACGCATTGGCTCATTGGCTGGTTTCGGCCCACCGGGTTGTTCGCCGCGTAGGGAGGGAGGTTAACTACATTTAAGCGACCACATATAAGTCTACTACTATTCCGACTTAACACGAATTCCGCGCTCTGCCTTTCGCTTCAGCCCAATTTCCACTCTCCGACATTCGCCTATTTCATTGTGCTAACCAGGTTTTACGGCCACAAGGCCTTGGAAGGTGTAGGTCTCTTAGCAGGCAAATCACGGATGAATGCTTCTGCCAGACAAAGTTTGTTGTCGGATATGTCACCTTCTTTCGTAGCAATTTGATCGCTTGCTCGCGGAAAAGAAGCGGCCATCAGGTATACTGCACTATTGGACCGCTGGAGAAGTCCGCCAATCTAGTGCCAACGTAATCCTCCCAAGTTTGCAGCCGCATGGCAGCTCTGAATGTTCAATGGGGCATCCGCCGCATGCGTAGACTCTATTCTGGACGCAGCTAGCGCCAGGCTTGCTAATCAATCAATCTCTTGGCAACATTGTTTCAACATGTTGTTTCAATGTCAATTCAACTGGCCTACTGCTGCTGACATAAGCAATCGCAATTCAACTCAACTTTACCCCCAGTTGATTGATAATAAGTTGAGATGACTAGTGCGCCGCATGCTATTGGCTGCGTCGCTAACCGAGGACGTCTTGGCTTTCGTTTGGACGCGACACGACGCGACGCGTCAACCGGCGCATCTGCTAGCACATTGTCGCATGCCAAGCGCTTTCGTGAACCTAAACTCTGTTACTAAGCATGCCGTGCGAGGGCCTGAATATAAGCTGAGCTATGATGCAAGAACAATACAATAACTTACACACTCTTCATGATTTCCCGTACTTGCAACACCGCACCCAACCGTGCGACACACATCTATCAAGCATCTCATACATTGTCATGGATTTAGATATCGTCGACGCCTCCTCTATCGACACCCACTTCCGTACTGTGCAGTCCGGGCCACCCACCTCTACAGAAGCCCGGTTCGAGCCGTCTGCGTCCACCCATTCTCTTGCAGATGATGACCACTACCAAGATATCGTCTGGGCGCGACTACCGGGCTATATACGTCCACCAACCAGCGACAAGTTGCGCGCTTGGTTTTGGAAATACGGTTACTATGTTCAACAAGGGCTGAGCTCGGAGCGCTACTGGCTCTGTCGCGAGTGCCATTCGAAAAAGCCCTATCGCACGACTAAGTACATCATTGCCGGAGTCGACAATATCAAGAAACATCTTCTCAATGTCCACTGGATATCAAAAAATGGGCCTCTCTCTAGGAAACGCAGCCGTACAGTGTTCGAGCAATTACAGCTAAATACGGACGACCCAAAAGACCAGCAGGTAATGAATTGGATGAACAGTAGATTCGACCCTGAACGCTTCAAGAGGCTTCTTCTTTCTTGGGTAGTGTCTGACGCTATTCCCTTTCATAAGCTTGAGAGCGAGTATTTCCGCAAGCTATGCGAATATCTCCGTCCCCAGAGCAGTGATCGGAATGGTCTGGTCTGACTTGGTCTTGGTCTGGTCTAGACCGCCAAGACTTGGTTTGGTCTGGCGATTTTTGAGACCATGGTCGGACCGGTCTAGATGGTCGGACCACTCCAGCTATAAATAGGTCCACGTGACTAGATCTTGGACTAATTCGGTTAGAACACTCAGCACAGGATAATGTGAAGATCGATGTAATAGTACGGGGTGTGTTAGCACGATTGGAAGATCGATGTAATAACACAGTGGTTGAGAAGCAAGTACTAATCCTTAGATTGAATACGAAGTTGAGCACAATGACCATAAGGGTGCATTGTCCAGTGTCTATATACTTGTACGATAGTCGCGTTGGCTCCTACCGATAGTCGCGATAGTCGTCCTTGGCGTCGTAAACGGTCACGTGACTGTACGCTTACAGTTAGCGGTTTTGAAGAATTGCGGTCCTGGCTGTGCTTGTGTGGCGTGGTTGCGGCGTTTTGGCTGGGGACCGTAACAACTGGCTATCTCGCTACGACTCCCAACGAGATCTCGCTCGCTTCGCTCTAGACATGTTTGCAATCTCGCCTGTGTCGGATGAATGCGAACGTCTTTTCAGTAGCGCAAAGCTTACGATAGTTGATCGCCGTGGTAGGCTGAAGGCAGATATCATAGAGGCATGTGAGTGTCTCCGGGCCTGGTATGGAAAGCCCCAGGCTGAGGGAAACAGCGATATCGAGGATAGTGAGAACGAAGACGACTGGATTGATAGTTAGTAGCAAAATACATTTCCTCGGCTTCCTTCTTTTCTTCAGCCTCATTCTTGGCGGTCTTGTTGGTCGGACCGGTCTGGTCGGACCGGTCCTTATGTAAGCACCTGGTCTGGTCTGGTCTGTACCCTCAGACCAGACCAGACCAGACCATTCCGATCACTGCCCCAGAGCCGGCCCCATATTCCTCACCACACGACGATGCGGAGCATGATCGTTGACGAGTACGAGCGGCATCTACCCGTCGTCGTTGATCTGCTTCAGAACGCTACCACGCGGATACATCTGTCGTTTGATATCTGGACAAGCAGGCAGATGCGATGCCTAGCCGGTAAGTAGCACATTAACTGCTTCTTCCAAGCTAATCCCTTAGTAGGTGTTGTCGCACATTTCCTTTGTCGAGAGTTCGAGTACAAAACCGTCCTTCTCTCGCTTCCAGAGCAGATCGGACACGCAGGCGTGAAAATCTCTGCTACTATCCAATCGATTCTTGACCGATTTAAGATCCCACCTCAACAGCTCGGATATTTCGTTGCGGACAATGCTTCTGAAAATGATACGTGCGTAAAAGATCTGGAAGAAGCTTTTGGCTATCAACATGGCTGGCGACGCATCCGTTGTATGGGCCATGTTATTAATTTGGTAGCTCGGGCGCTTCTCTTCGGCGAGAATCCTGATGGCTTTGAGGAGGAGAATCAGGAGTCCATGGTTGAAATCATCGAACAGCAGAAGCAGTGGCGGGCGCTAGGGCCTATCGGGAAGCTTCACAATGTAGTTGTTTGGATCCGGTCCTCTGCAGAGAGACAAAGAGAGTTTCAAAACCGCCAGCGGGCCAGTTATATTACTACGGGCGATCCTGATGCAGCCACGAAGCCTGTATACAACCTGATTCCTGCAAACGACACCCGGTGGAATTCAAACCTTGCCGAGATGCAGCGCGCAGTCGAGCTTCAAAACGTGATTGACGAAATAATAGCACCAGAAGTCTACAAATGGAACTCGCACCGCTCTGCGCAGAAGCCATCGATAGCCGAAGACTATCTAACTGCCGACGACTGGCCTGTTATTGCGATCTACTTGGATATTCTGAAGCCTCTCGAAAAGGCCACCTTAAAGCTGCAAGGTAGACCCAGCCGCAGTTCAGATACCGGTATCTGGCATGTACTACCTACGATGGAGTGGCTACTCCATAGGTTCGAAAGCTTCAAGGAAGAGTATTAGTCCCATCCGGATCCTCATTTCCGACGCGGCATTACCCAAGCCTGGGCTAAGCTTGATAAATACTATCTGCTTACTGAGAAGTCACCTATCTACGTCGCTGCAGTAGTCTTGAACCCGAAGTGGAAGTGGAAGTACTTTGAGAAGCAATGGGCTGATCATAAGGACTGGATTCAGGACGCTAAGAAAGCAGTCAGAGAGCTTTGGACTGTTGACTATAGGAACCAGCCACTACCGGATGAACTCGAACTCTGCGAGCCCCAGCAACGCGATATGATCTTAAAATCGGATCTGGACGATTTCATCAATTCTGTCATGGGCCCATATTCCCCAGCCACGGATCAGCCTGACGACTACGAATCATACATATCACAAGGTGTTACACCTGAGGACCAGGCTTGCAACACCCCTATGGCATACTAGTTAGAGAAACGACGCGTTTGGCCTCGGCTTGCGAAGATGGCGCTAGACATACTATCTATTCCACCGATGAGTGATGAACCAGAGCGCATCTTTAGCCTTAGCGGTCTTCTAACAGTAGCCAATCGGGGAAGGCTTAAGACGGATGTCATCGGTGCGTCTATCTGTCTGGCAAACTGGCAGAGATTAGGTATAGTTCCTGATAGCTTTTCGGTGAGCACCTCGTGTAGTCAATCACATTTCGCCAAGACCAGTCACTGAAATGTGATTGGTTCGCTTGCATTGCATACCCTTGTCCATATATCTTGGCAATATGTTGTCAATCAACATAGAGTTGCTTCAATTCAACTGTCAGGCACCAGGTTACTCCGGGCCCGTTCGGGCCGGTATGCCAAGCAATCGCAGTATATTAGCCTACCTTACCGCTGTTGTGGCTCGACAGCGGTTCGTCTCTAGTCTTACAAGGCAATATACCTCTACTTCCACTATCGCGGTGCATCTCGTATCTATAAAGACTCTATTGCTTGACATCAACTCAACTCAACTTGTCTTTTCGCGATTACATAAGCAACTCAATTCAACTAGGACCGAAATTGAATTGAATTGATTGATTAGCAAGCCTGGTCGAGACGAAAACGCGAAATGTCTCAACAACGCAGCACTCAATCTACTTATACTGAAGCAGACCTACAGCTTGCTCTTTCTGATATTAGTTTTCAGAGCGTTCAAAGTAGTTATCGTGCTGCTAGAATATATAACCTTCCTGAATCAACTCTTAAATACCGTCGCGCTGGAAGCAGAGTTGCTAACAATCAATCCAAACTGATGAGACTGACTGACTGACTGATTGCTTGGCAGTCAGTTCAGTGTCAGTTTGGAGCTCTCGTCTTATCAGTCAGTTCAGTTCAGAACTCTTAAACTGACTGGATTGACTGATATGAGACTGATACATAGTGTTGCGGAGGCTTATTCTAGGCTGTTGATGAGGCTGTTAGTGAGGCTGTTGATATGGTTTCTGTAAGCGGCTAGCGCCAAACCTTAGTGTTGCAGCTCAATCGCGCAACGCTCTAAATCCTAACTCTACGCCAACGCTACTATCTATCGACGCGCCTACTTGCGGGTTATACCAGTTTCTCTTGGTGCTGATATGACCCAGCAATCGAATCAGAGCCTCCGCCGACTTGTTGAGCGCGATAAACACGGAGATCCACCTGCGAACGCGTCGGTCACGCCATCTGTTGACAACAACACCGAGCTTGATCGCATTAACCAATCGATTGACGCGCCAATCAGCGAGGCCATAGATGAGGCTGATGATACTTCTTTTGACGGCTTAGACTGGTCACGGGTCCCGTACCTGGAGAGGCGACAGAAAGAGCACGCTAGAGGTGCCCCAAGTTGGATATACAAGTACGGCTGGCCAGTATATCATCGTATCAAACATCGTAACTACTGGCTCTGTTTCTATTGCCACATACACAAGAAACTTGGGGGCGAGTACGACGCTGGATCAACGTCAGCAGCAGCTACTCACCTAGCTAAAGGTGTGCCCGGCCACAGCGTTGGTGCCCAAGAACCTCTCCGACGAAGCCGCGATCCTAACCAGGGCTCAATCGTCAGCCTCATGCGCGATAGTGGTGTTGAGGTGTCGCAGGAGGTTGCGAATGAGATATCATCGTCATTTACAAAGCGCAAGTTTCAAGACGCGCTAAAGGACTGGATAGCTGCCGATAACCAAAGCCTCCGCGTTATTGAAACGCCTACCTTCGTCAGTTAATTCGAGCTGCTAATCCGTTGGCAGAGGCAGTACTTTGGCGTAACCACCAGTCTCTCCGCGACGCGATTGTTGCCGAGTATCACTCGTACATACCTGCTGTTCGAAGCTACCTAAGCGGCGCGCGGTCCCTTATTCATGTCTCCTTCGATAACTGGACGTCGACCAGCGGCAAGCATGGACTCACGGGCATTTGCGTACATCTGATGGACGCAGCGGGCGATGTGCAGGACTTTGTTCTGGGCTTGCCAGAGCTTCATGGGCAGCACAGTGGTAATAATATTGGCGCTGTTGTTGCAACAACGCTAACAAACTTTGGGGTGGACAAGGCATCAGTGGGCTATTTTGTGCTTGACAACGCATACAACAATGATACTGCCGTCCATCATCTGGCTGGTATATACGGCTTTGACGCCTCTGAGCGGCGTCTACGCTGCTGCTGCCATATACTCAACCTTGGAGCTCAACTTATCATATGGGGCAAAGACCGCGACGCATACGAGAACGCTGGTGGCAGCCTTAAAGACGAGGAGGCTTTCATGAAAGAGTGGCGTCAATATGGGCCTATTGGTGTACTATTTGATATTATCGCATCCATCTGTACGCCCCAGTCGCGCGAGCTGTTACAGAAACTCCAAAGAGTTGAAGCTGAGTCGCTGGGTAAGCCTGTCGTCCTCCGAGAGCTGATCAGGCCAGTTAAGACGCGCTGAAACTCCTACTTTGCTGCCTTTGTACGCGCTGTTGAGCTCCAAGGCCCGCTTGATAACTACGTCGAGCATAAGCTTTCTGAGGGCCGCCACAACGAGGTTATTGCTCGCCGCTCACGGCGACCTGGAGGTAGCGATAGCGTGTTCCAGGAACCTAGGCTTTTTCTGCGCGAGGGTGGCCTAAACGCTGGTGACTGGGCAACAATCACGGAGTATATAAAGCTTCTAGCGCCCTTCACAGAGGCCTCTAAGCTGCTAGAGGGACGCGGTAAACACGGCCGCCACGGCGCAATATGGGAAGTTCTGATTACCTTTGAGTGGTTACTTAACGAGCTCGAAGCGCTTAAAGAGCGCTTAAAGGATATTGACTATAATGATCCGTTAGCGCCAGAAGACCACCTTATGCTTAACGTTAACTTAGCTCACAAGAAACTATCGCAGTACTACTCAAAGTTTGACGACGCGCCTATCTACTACGCTGCTACAGTGCTCCACCCACACTATAAGCACCATCTCGAGGCACTATGGAAAGTGCCTGATGATCACAACACGCAGCGCGACGGCCCTCACTACCGCGATGGGTGGCTTACAAACAATCATCGCGCTTTTATAGCGATGTGGAAGGGCTTTCAAGAAGCAACAGTGGTTGGCAGCGCGACAAGCGACAGCGATGAGAGGCGCCCGGCAAAGAGAGTGCGTGTTGTTGGTCCAACAGCGTCGCGATCTGCCTTTCTAAAGTTGCAATTAGACGCTGCTGTTAAGCAGGTAGAGGAGCATCTTGGCGATGAGTACGAGCGGTGGAAACGCGTACCAGCGATCGCAGAGGACGATCCGATGGCTCTTAATCCGCTTAAGTACTGGCAATTACAGACGCAGCAGTACCCAACGCTTGCTAAGTTTGCTATCAACGTGCTTACAATACCAGTCTCAGCTGCTGATTGTGAGCGTACGTTCAGCGAGCTTGGTGACTTGCTAGGCACGCGGCGGCTGCAAATAAAGCCTGAGTTGCTTAACGCGCTGCAGTGCTTAAAGAGCTGGCGGCAGTTAGGTCTTAAAACACCAGCAGGAGGGCATACAATAGCTAAGATCGCCGCAGTACAAGATTATCTTAGTAAATACGACTATTGACTATAGCAATCAGATAGCAATCAATCAGTCAGTGCAACACGAAGATAGCGGTCTTGGCAGTCAGTTCAGTTTCAGTTCGCGACTCCAAAAAATGTCTTGGCAGTCAATCAGGTCAGTTTACTACTCCCGGACTGACAGTTTGAGCCGCATAGATGAACTGACAACTGACTGATTGACTGATAGCAACTCTGCAGCCTGACATCCCAGCTGACTGAACGGCTCAGACACACATTTTCGACCTCTGACTAGCATCGATGCTCTGATCCAAGACTGAAGTGGAACTCGGAGGCTGCGAGCACAGCTGATGCCTTGCTGTTGCACCTGATGACTAGCGTGGGTGGACGTGGATGGAAGTAGAAAGTGTTCACCACGCCGCTCGCCTCAACACTTTGACGCGGAATGTTTCCCGCTCTCCGATTGCTATTTGTGAAGGCTCGATGCGGAGACTAATGTTTTGGTGCTTGGCATCCGGCCTTCACTGTCGCTGAGAGTGCACGCTAATCGACTTTCCATGGCTGATAAAGCGCAATACCCAGCTGAACAGCCGCCAGAATGTGCATTGCGTAGATCGTAGCTAGGTCAGACCTCCAGTGCTCAGCAGCGACCTTGTCGCTTACTCGCATCGCTTGGAAGCTTGAAGCTCGATGTTGCTAACGAAGAGCGAACTGAATAGCGTCTGTTTCTTCGTCGGGATAACGCATCTTATCAGTAAGCTGCGCACATTAGTGACGTGGTCCAGCACAGCGCACGTGTCCGCGTAGCTCGCAGGCAAAGACTTGCAAAATCTCAACTCTACAAATCCCGTCTATCTTCGTTGCCATTATTATGGACGAAGGCTTCATGCTTCGCATGTGCATAACAGATCTTTGTGCGGCATCAATCAGTAAATGAAAGACAAGTTAGCTGCTGTCGCGAGAGCGCTCCTCATTGGCTAGCAATCCTCGCATAATGTCAAGGTGATCTGTGCATGCACGAAGGAGGCCAAGATACGTAGCGATAGTGATGTCTTCTTTCCTAATATAGTCTAGCTTCTGTCAAACACGACCAGTGCTGCTTCCAATCGTGTTGGCGATGCGCTGACGGTCATCGGTTCACTACACAGTCTTGATTGACAATTTGCATTACCTCGTCTCGAATTAGCTCATCGCTGCCGGTATAAGCACCTTCCACCCACGAAATGTTTTTTACTATCGGCACAACTTCCCTCCATTCTTGCAAGTGCATACCCTTGATGACAACTGCCAACATGAAGACGAAATGGCTCCGCTCCACAATATCCTTCGTTTCGATTGCTGCGAAGTATAGCACCCAGACTAACAATGGCTCGAGCTCATTCCATTCCACCATGTTCTCTGTAAGTCTAAGTAGGAGTTTGCGAGATATGACTGCTGTCCAGATAGTGTATCGTCCTAGGAGCCTCCACAGGGGCGTCAAAAACAAAAGAGTGCCAAGCCGGCACACTTCTTCGATCATGTTCCCACGCTCATGGCCCTGTTGCAACGGCCGTACACACAAGAGACGATATGCAATTGGCTCCATCCAGCTGCTATCAGTGACGGACAACAGTGTTTGCTCTCGGTTGAATGCCGGATCAAGTGAGACAAGCTGCACAATGTCGTCAAAGATTGTGATCCATTCTAGTTGCATCGGTAGCTGTTTCTTCCATATCAGAGACATGGGTCTATGCGGTCGTGGTGAGCTTGCTAGGGGTCTGCAAGCATCCTCCCATTGGGCTGGCAAGGGAATGATAGGCGGAATATCTTGCGAGAAACAACCTACGAGATCTGACCTGCTATCCGGTCAGTAACGTCTACTGCCCTAGTATGAGATTGGAGCTTGGCAAAAGACATACCATGTCAAGGTGATCCGAAGGTGCTCGTTCTCAATCGCTTCATAACCGCCTCTGAGTTCTACAATGTGTACGAGTGCATTTCGATGCTTGTACCAGTGACCGTCGGCGAAACTATTGAGCAACGCCTAAGAATTATCAGGCATCAAACATCAATCGAAGAGGGCAGCTGCTTACATGATGACACATGAAAGATGCCACTGTCCCGATCATGTCGTCGCTCTTGTGCTTTGAGGAGTCCTTCATCATCTCGCTGGCGGCACGAAGTGCCTTGTAAGAATGTGTCAAAGCTAAAGCATCGTCGCGTGAGGGGAACGATCCATTCAACTTCTGGAATATGAAGTTCTGAGAGTTTGACAAGACGTTGTGGAATATGGCTGCACAGCTAAGTCCTACAGGATACCAATAATCCCGCAGCCGGATTGGGTGATTGGTGCTTGGGTCGAGAACTAAGTAGAGTCAAGGAAGCAAGAGTTGGTTCTCAGAGGGGCACACTGACTGTTTGCTACTAATGCTCGATTGGATTCATTCATTTTGATAGGGTAGACACAGAACGGGTCCATCTGGCCGCCACCGAAGCGCTCGAGACCGAGGTGCGCCTCCGTTGGATCACGGATTTCGAGGACGATTTCGTTGCGTTCCCTTCTTGTCCTTGGCTTTCTTCGCGCCTTGCCGACTTCTGCCATGACTATGCGCCGAATGCGAACTTGTGTCTCCTCATCTTTGAGATCATCGGGGTGTTTCAGGTTTATGAACCGAAATCTCGGTTTCGTAGGGGAGTCCATGGCGTAAACATTGAGCTTGTTGATATCGCCTGGGTTAGCCTTACAGCGCTCTTAGATGCTGAAATCCCAGGACGCAAGCGAATACTATGAAATATGCGTCGCGATAAAGAGGCATAGAACTAGTATAAACACGTAATGGGCCTATTGTTGGAAGGGTGGCATAACCACACACTCGTGAGTCGTTCTAGTGCATGCAAAATTGGCGGTTGATCCGTTGCGGTCACCTGAAAGTCTCGATCTAAGGAGGACTGGGACTCGATGACGCACGTAAGTAAAATTTGAGAGGCGTATATAAGCGAGAAGGATGAGAAGTCAGCATGCTTGGCAAGACTAGCGATGGCACGTGCTCAACCCCGCCATGCTCGAAGGCAACTCAGGCAGCTAGCCTTAATCATGACTCTCAGGAGCGGAGTACCGGTACAGCCCAGTCATCGTCATGGTTCTAACCTCTAGCACATCGAATTACCGATGTCAATCAGCGGCTGAAATGCACAGTAAGGAGGCGCAGACTGCCATAACAATGGCCAGATCTAGGCACTTTGCCGAAAGTTCATGCATGCAAGGATGTCCTGTTTCTTGAAAGGGCTAGCATTACCCACAAGCTGTTCGAAAGAAACACAGCGGCGTAATCACCCTCCAAAGCAGGTCGCTTGTCACTGGACTAGCGAGTGAGTACCAAGAGCACGTGGCAAAAGAGGTTAGTGCTGCTGGCACAGACTTTTCAAAACCACCACATATCAGGACTTCCATGACATTGTGCCGTGCCAATAGCCGGATGCCACAATGTCAATATGGAGACTGCTATCTCTGTGCTTGTGTTGGACGAACTAGGTCATTTCGATCGTGGAGACACCGCCGCTAACATTCCCGGCGCTCGCAACACCGCTGTAGTGAGCTGAGGTTTAGGTCACGTGACCCGGCTGCTGGCCTGCGATGGTGTTGGGGCCAGATGCTATAGGCGAAGACTGTTGATATGTGACTTGCATGGACATGAATAAGGCGTTGGAGCTGAGGAGTGACCGCGCTTCTGCTCCAGTGTGTCCATCAACCAAGTAAGTTACTTGGTTGACACCAGGGCTCCAAGAAAATGTGGACCCTCTGGACCGGCCGGTTCAACCGGTTGCTTTAACGTAAGCAGATCGTCTTGAGGTGATTGGCCGGTGTCGCGCGTCGGTGCTTAAGGTTCCAACTAATTTAGTCCGGCCCACTATAGTGTTCTAGCGCCCTGATGTCAACCAAGTAACTTACTTGGTTGATGTCACGATGTTCCAACACCACAGGTTCCAGCCACAGGCAGGCAAGCTACCGGGGACCCTTCGGGCCACCGTCGACCCTCACCAGCCACGATCACGTGACGTAGGTATATATCATCCCTCTAGGAGTCTTGATAGCTCCTCAAGGATTCGTCTCAATACAAGCCTATACCAATATCTCAGTGCCTGCCCAAATACTCCTCACAATTTGATAGTTGACCACTCTGTCGTCTGCATTAAGTCGAATGCCCCTTCGGATGCCGTGAGGTCTTCCTCCACCCTGGAGATGGTGTGAACTACTTCAGCTTTGCCTTTGTGCAATTCCCATCGTCAACATCGTACCTCAACATACATTCTTCGTGTTGCTGTGCGTGTAACGTCTATCCCTGTGCAGCGAAAAACCCTGTGACCCGAAAACGACCAATGAGAGCGCAAGGATAGCCGATCTCCCAGCACAGTGCTGTGTCTCATTGGTTGTTTTCGGCCCACTGGGATTTTTGCTTCACAGGGACGGACGTTAATCAGACAACGGTACATACACCGACAGGGCTCATCTGGTTGTGGAGCCTTCCCTACGCTGGTGGATGGGTCGGGTCGGGTTGGGGTTAGGGTTGCCTAAATAGGTAATGACTAGCTCAAACTCAGCCTAGTTATTATCTATTTAGGCAACCCCAACCCGACCCGACCCATTCACCAACGTAGCCTTCCCATAGCCCCGCTAACCCCTTTTCAAAAGCTGGTTATCCTTGCTCGCACATGCATCCGGCTTTCAGATCTACTCTAGATACCGACATGCCCACGCCTTTCATCTACGGGTAACTCTAGTCCAGTGTAAGGGGCTACGCTCAGGGAGCTATCGCACAGGTATACTGGAGTTGTATTTGATAGAGAAGAGAACTACAGGTAGCTAGGGTTCTGAAGGTCGTTCAGGGGGCGGCGGCTCGGGATAACCTTCTGCCGGGCTCGCTTGCACAGAATCCGGGTGCTCAGGGGGGGCACCCGGAATCTGTGGACAGTGCGCCTCCCGCACGTGACCGAGATATCATCGAGGACTCACCAACTGGGCTCCAGCCCATCACATCCAGTCTAGCAACGCCGAAGTATTTGTACTTTAGAAAAGCAGACGCTGTATAGGCTAATGTCAGGATTTATCCTCAATTAGTCGATTTTTACAAGATGCTTGTTATATAATTGCTGCATATCTCCGCTGCTACTATTGGTTTGTACTAGTACAATGGTCCTAGTGTTCTCCATATACTTTGCGAATGCCCGTGCCGAGGCTCGACGCAATGCCTGTCTAGCCAAATAGAGAATATGCTTCAGACGCCACCGCATCTTCAACGCAATATTTTGCTACAACCTGACTTCGCCCAGGACCAGGTCACGGACTTAAAGGCCTTTGAGTGTCAGTTCAAGCCTAGGCATCGTGCCGACGCATCACATTAAGCCATTGGTATATGCGTCAAGGTGGTCGTGTATGCAGTGACAGGGGTACCTTCTTTCCCAAAGTGGTCTAGTCTCTGCCGATCTCACCCGGAAACCCATCCAGAAACGTTGGTGAACTGTCAACTAGGACCATAGTCCCCACAGGATTTTGCTTGACGATCTGCATGACCTCGTCCCGAATCAGGTCGTCGCTGCCTGCAAAAACCTTCTCAACCCACAAGACATTCTTGAGGATTTGCATGGTCTTGTTCCACTCTTGCAGCCGCATGCCACTCATAAGGACTGCCAGCATGAAGACGTATTGACTTCGTTCCGCTAGATCTTTTGTCTCGCTCGCAGCGAAGTATAGCACCCACACCAGTAATGGCTTGAGCTCATTCCACTCTACCATGTCCTTCATGAGCAGGAGTAGAAGCTTGCGAGATATGGCTGCCGTTCGCACAATTGACCGTCCCAGTAACCTCCAGAAGGGCGAGAGAAATAACAGAGTGCCAAGCCGACACACCTCTTCTATCACGTGTCCACGGTCATTGCCCTGTAGTAAGGGCCGTATGGACAAGAGACGATACGCGGTTGGCTCCATCCAGCTGCCGCTGCTGATTGACAATAGCAGCTGTTCTTTGTTGAATGCTCGATCAACCGAGATTAGCTGCACAATGTCGTCAAATATCGTGATCCAGTCTAGTTGCATCGGCAGCTGTTGCTTCCATAATAAGGATATAGGGCTATGCGGTCGTGGCGAGTTCGGTGGAGATCTGGAGTCAGACTCCCATTGACGTGGCAAGGGGACCACAGGCGGAATGTCTTGCGAAAAACAGCCTACTAAGTCTGCCCTGCTCATGGGTCAGTATAGTAACGAGGTTTGTTTGAATCCGAAGGCTGGCAAAAGATGTACCATGTCAAAGTGATCCTAAGGTGCTCTTTGTCGATGGCGTCATAGCCGCCTCTGAGCCCGACGATGCTTACGAGTGCATTTCGATGCTTGTGCCAATGGCCATCGGCGAAAGTCCCCAGCAAAGCCTAAAAATCGTCATGTACCAGCTACTAATGACGAAGACCGCTGCTTACATGATGACACATGAACGATGCCACAGTCCCGATGATCTCGTCGCTCTTGTGCTTGGTGGGGTCCTTCATCATCTCGCTGGCGGCACGGAGTGCTTTATGACGATGGGTCAAAGCTAAAGCATCGTCCTGTGAAGGAAAGAATCCATTCAGCTTCTGGAACAAAAAGTTCTGAGAGTTTGACAGGACGTTGTGAAATGCGGCTGCACAGCTGAGTCCTACAGGGTACCAGCAACCCCGCAGCTGGCTCGAGTGGTTGGTGGTTGGGTCAAAAACTACATCAAGTCAGCCAAGAGCGAGATTGTCCTCGAAGAAGCACGCGCACTGTTTGCTAGCAAAGCTCGATCAGAATCATCGAGTTCAATGGGGTAATGGCTGAAGGGATCAATTTGGCCGCCACCGAAGCGTTCTAGACTAGAGTGCATCTCCGTTGAATTACGAAGTTCGAGGACGATTTCGTTGCGCTCCTTTCTCGTCTTTGGCTTTCTTCGCGCTTTGCCAACCTCGGCCATCGCTAGACGCCGAATGCGAAACTGCGTTCCCTCATCTTTGATATCGTCCGGATGTTTCAGGTTTACAAAGTTGAACTTTGTCTTTGTAGAGCAATCCATGGTGTGAACACTGGGTAGTGACAATTGGGTGGTTCTTGTCTTGCTGTCCGATCTGGCCTTGCGCCCCTCTTAAATGCTTGTACACAGGTGAGCACTTGAATCCTGCATTTTACCGAATCTTGCCTCTAGACACTAATCCTATAGAGTCATTGAGGAGGGGCCAAGACAGAGTTGAAGTCATGCAAATAGCGTGAAAATGCAGGGAAGCCGGGCTATCTTTGCCACGAGCGAGCAGACACTCCAGTACACGTAATGCTAAGGAGTGATTTGTTGCAGGGCTTGTTTTGGCCCTATCCTAAGCGGATTGGTTGTGGATGTTGCAACACGAATTGAAGATTGAGCTGCATGTACGAAGGCGTGAGTGGTTTAGTCATGCGGATTATCAATCAAGCTAACGCCTTTGGGAAAGCTACCGTAGACAGAGTGGCAGGAATTAGAAGATTCCGATCCGTCTTGTACCTTCCTTTTCAAATTTGCTACCCCGCCCCTCGAGCAAACATCTGCTAACCCAAGCAAGCGAAGAGTGTAGAACGGAGACAATATAGTAAACAGAGCTTGTAGTTCATGTTGTGTACGGTTCAGGCTATGTAGTAACGTGCATGTTTAACAAGGTTACACTACACTACTCTTTGAATGCCCAATGACACTAAACTCCCTTCGCGAAATTATCACGCGAATGTCTCTTTTTGACACAGGCCTCCTTCCTACGAGGCTTGAAAGCCAGGAGAAACTGGCTGCAGACTCCGCATCAAGCAAGTCAATCAATCTGAGAGCCGTTGATTGGCTTGCTTGTGAGTAACATCGTCGTCGCTTGATTGTTGCTTGATTGTTGGTGTTTTCGGGCAGCTTGCTTGCGACTTGATTGTAGATTGACTAGATTAGACGCTAAGAGATCGATTTTATATACAGTTACTGCGGATGAGTATTCCACTCTTCTATATTGTAGTCTCGTATAACGTGAGTGCTAGGCGAGTGGCGCGGCTAGGCGAGCGGCGCGGCTAGGCGAGCGGCGCACCCCAATGAACTTTTGCACCTCTAACACGCTATTACTCAACACTACAACAACCTACTATAATGCGAAATACGTAGAATTAATCGCTAACCTCTGCTATATCTTTTTTGCAAGTACGCGAATTGTGTCCTGTCTCTCCGCAGCGCCTACAGTGCCTTTTGCGCTGCTTGCCTGCACCTGTTCGGGCTCTACCTTCACGCGTTTCCCCCTCTATCTTCGCCCCAACGTTTATTTGGGCCATCAAATCCTCTGCCTGCTCCTTTGACAGGTCTCCGCCCTTCTGGATCCGCTTTCTTTTACGCGATTTGCGCTCAGAAGCTGCTCTGTTTGACGCTTCAAGCTGCAGCACTCGGGCAGCCAGCAACGTCTGTGAATGCAGTATCATCTCAGTGCCCTTTCTAAGCTGGTTAACCATCTCAACCATAGGAGAAGGTGAGGAACCCTGATGTTTTTGAATGCGATCGCGAAGCAGCGTAGATTGAGCCTCTACTTCAGCGGCGTTGCTTGGTGTTTTAGGGTTCCATTGGGTGGTTCCTGGTGCGGGCGGTGTTGGCGTGCGAGGTTTGACTTCAAGCTTTGATAGCACCACCAATGGGTTATAAGGCACTAAGCCAGTTGCTCTAAAGCTTAATTGGATATTTGTTTTTGAGAACGCAGGCTCAAAAACCTTCGCAAAGGAGGCAATAAAGGCCTTTTTGTCGATTCGGCCAATGTGGTCTGTTGCCAAGACTTTGATCTCTTTGCTGTACGCCTGCTTCAAGGGGGCAAAACATCCCACATCAAGCGGCTGCAGGATGTGCGACGAGTGTGGAGGCATACAGAGGGTAATTTTTTGTTCTCCTCGCAAAGAGCCTGGAAGGTAAGCGACTTGTGGCTCTCGTGGCCGTCGATTATAAGCAGCACGTAGCTACCCACCCTCCGCCCCTTTATCTGCTCAATAAAGTGCTTCAACTAGGGTACACCAATCTCGTTCGTAGTCCAGCCGTTGTTACTAACCCCAATGCGCCATTGAGGCTTTAGATCAGGGAACCAGGACGCGTCGTGGTTCTTTGCTTTAAAGATAAGGTAGGGCGCGATTGCCCAGCCCATCGCGTTGACGGCGGCGATAAGAGTCACCCACTCACGGTCTCCCTGCTGGACGCCAATAGGCTCAGTGCGTCTCTCTGAAGCGGTGACTACTTTAACTCGGTTTCCAACGCCCATCGTGAAGCCAGTCTCGTCAAAGTTGTAGGTATCTTCGTCTAGTATGCTGTACTTGGCCTTAACATTCCGTACAAGGTTAAACCAGGGCCGGATAACCTCTGGATCGCTGCACAAGACTCTTTGACGATTGCGCTGTCGATTTAAACGGGATTTGAGCTCGCCCTCGCGTTTAACGAAGTTTGAAGCCCATCTTGGGCCAACAGGCTTGTCACCACGCGCAGCACGTAGTTGGTTGGCCATATCTTCTACAGAACGCAGTGTTGGCGCAAATCCTTGCGCATATAGCTTCTTAATATAGTGTCTAAGCGCCTCCTCTTCAGTCTTTTGAAGGCTTGATGATTTAGGGTGAGTATCGCGTTGCGACATCTTCCCAGCGCGTCGGCGGCGAAGGGTCGTTTCAGGCACGTTGTAGGCGGCGGCAGCGCGTCGCAAGCTTAGGTCTTGAGGCGGTGTAATGGCTTGAAGGGCTTCTTTAATCCTCTCTTCTTTTGAGAGCTCTTCGAGGTTGGGTGGTTGAGACATTAAGGTTTGAAGTTCAAAGGTGCAAAAGCTCATTGGGGTGCGCCGCTCGCCTAGCCGCGCCACTCGCCTAGCACTCACGTTACCCCGATTTGATTTGATTTGATTTCGATAATTTTGATTTGATTTGGATAGATTTAAATTCGGTTTATCTGTTTGCAACCCTGGTGGAGGCCCCATTTAATTGATTGTTGACAAGTCTATCCCTTATTGGCCCTAAACAGACTTGCTAACAGTCAATCAGATCAGTCCGAAGCGTCTCGTCTTCTCAGTCTAACCAGTCCGTAGAGCTCAGACTGATTAGATTGGTTGAATTAGACTGTTGTAAGGCCATTTTGAGGCGTATCTGGTAGTCGTGATCGCGATTTCTGGAGTTGAGTTTTGTGCGGTTTAACACCCGGGCATACCGTGACGGTCACCATGCTTATGATCCATCGTCGAAGGTACACACTGTTTCTTCCTCGTGTTGGAGTGGTTGTTGACGTCACTCTCACTTACTTGTTGAAGGCTCTGCCGTGTGTAGATAAAAGATTGTTGTCTCTAGTCTAAGTGTCGGCATTCTCCTGCTCTAATTGTACCTCTGCGTTTCTTCTCTTGCTCCGTTTCACGATGTTATACATGACATAGACCGTTGTAGTTGTATCGAGAGCTGCCATAGAACTGGAGGGCGCAGTCCTTGCGATTGCCATCATGTTCAACTCCTTCATCCCATCTTTCTTGCTGTTTGCACCTCGTTCTTTGCATGTCACGCTCTTCACCTATCCGTGCTGGAGTCTCATCAGTTAACACCACTTTTTCAAAGATGAAGCCCATGTCAGCGAACACACGTACACACATGATGCAATTACTGACAAACTAGGGTCGAGTTACGCTAAGGTCTATGTTCCTCGGTGATGCTGTCACGTACAGTCCGCAACAAGCAAGCGATAGACAGATTGATTACCTCATTAGGCGTAAGAAGACCACAATCTGGCTCGTGCCACGCCTAATGCGGTAATCAATCTGTCTATCGCTTGCTTGTTGCGGACTGTGCAAATCAAGTCCTCTCAACGCAGCACTACCGGTATGTAGTCCGTGTCAGTGTGCACATTCCAACTGTAGGGTCGTTCGCGAGACTTGATTTGGCTCGATTTGTTGGTCGCCACCAACTCTCTCTACTACGGTGTCAGGCATAAGCAATGTAGGTGGGCCCGGCGCCACAAGGATATGACCAAGACCTTAAGAACTCCAACTGCTTATCGGTTGCCAATTGTGATACTTCTAGTTGCTGACTATCCCTGCTACATGCCTTATGCACTGCTGTTAGAAACCAAATGAGTAAGTTTTGCTCACCTGCCACTGCACGAACCAACCACCGTAGTAGATAGATCGCTACGACGCTTACTGAATTGCACCTACGAAATTCCGCCGAGAAGGTGGAGTTGAGCTTAAAAGCAGTGCATATCTTTCCTCTATCACACCGCACACTCACATATTCACTCTTCTCATTGTCAAAATCCCAGATCACGTTTTGAGCCCACCGTCTTCACAATGGCGACCTCGACCTCCAACCAAGCATGGACAATCCCTTCCACAGCATCCAAAGTCACCCATCTCATGAAACAAACCAAGCCCGTCCCAACTCCAGGGCCGAAGCAAGTCCTCGTCAGAATGACGGCTGCCTCCCTCAACTTCCGCGACGTTCTGGTCTCCACTCGCTCTCCTGCTTATCCAGGAACTCACAAACCAGACCTCGTGCCCGGCTCCGACGGTGCAGGAACAATCCACACCCCCGGTCTCTCATCTACATGGGCCGGCAAAGAAGGCACCCCAGTCCTCTTGCACTGCAGCTCCTGGCTTGAGGGAGACGTACGCAACCTCCGAGGCGATGTAGTATTTGGTGGGACAGATGTAGATGGCACGCTACAGGAATGGATGGTCGTTGACGATGATTGGATCATTGAGGCGCCGAAGAATCTGAGTGCAGTTGAGAGCGCGAGTCTAGTGACTGCAGGAACGACAGCATGGGCGGCTATACGGGGTGGTTTGGATGGGAGGTTGGATGGTGGTTTGGAGGAGTGGAAGGGTGTATGGACGGCGAAGAGATTGCAAGGGAAGACAGTGCTTACGATGGGGACCGGCGGTGTGAGCTGTTTCGCTATACAGGTACGATTCCCTCTTCATCATCCTCCACCCAGTTCGAACAAACTACGCAAGACAAAGAGCCCAGAAGATACTGATGAGCAATAAATAGATCGCAGCCGCCCTTGGTGCAACTGTAATTGCCACATCATCATCGGACAGCAAGCTGAACTTCGTCAAATCGCTTGGCGCCACCCATCTTATCAACTACTCCAAGACACCCGACTGGGACGAAGAGGTCCTTCGTATCACGAGCGGAAACGGCGTCGACCATGTCATCGAAACTGGCGGCGCAGGAACACTGATGAAGTCCGTCAACAGTACGCGACCTGGCGGGCTCATTAGTCTTCTTGGGATATTGACGCCAAATGAGGCGATTTCTGCGGCATTTGTGCCAAGCGTGCTGTTTGGCGCTAAGATTGGTGCGTCACACTGGTGAAGGGAAGTGGAGAGCGAGTGATTGCTGACAGTGTGCAGTGAAAGGATGTACAGCTTTTAGTCGCGATGCCCTCGCCGAATTTGCAAAGCTCGTCGATGCGAACAGGATTAAGCCTGTCATAGCGCAGTCGTTCGACTTCTCCCAGATGGTTGAAGCATTTCAGGCGCTGCAGAAGCAAAATGCGGTGGGAAAGATTGTGGTCAAGATCAGTGACATCTAAACACCCACAATTCTCTCCGTGAAGATGGCCTTAAGGAAGACATCTTCAACTTGTTGCATCCATTTGGAGTATTCGTTCCAGAGGTCTGGTAGAAGGAGATGCACACAACTGGGTATTGCGTAGCAACAATTGTGAATCATTCTCAAGCCGGTAGCTACCAGCAGCGTTTGCAACAGTCCGTACTACGGTACTTTTGAGGTTATCGTGAGCACGTTACGGCCAAACTTTGGTGTTGTGATTATTGTACGCCTGTTTTTCCGTACAGTACTACATCGTACACCGTACTACTGTTAAGACGGACGATGAAGGTAGTAGCCATGTAACCTTGACTGCATGACTAATCATTTAGTGGTCGATGCATCCCTGATGGTCATGATGACTTTACGTTACGTCTGCACCAACGGCGCTCTAGGAACTTGTGTATTGGGGATACCTGCTAGTGCGGCGCCCCTCGCTGCCATGGCAGCATAGCTGATCGCATTGTTTGTCTGCTGTCCTGTGTTCTTCATCTGCCTCGTCATCTCCAGGTTCGCCTTGCCTACCTCTACCGCCTCCTTGGCGGCTGCCCTGGCTTCCTCTCCAGCGTGTATGTTCTATTGTACGTTTGTGGCCATCCCGTGGATGGTTTCGGTGGTGTTCTTGAGCTCGTTCCTGACGGTATCAAATGTCTGCGCGGTGTTTCCCGAGGCTACCTTGGTGTCGATTTGCAGGATGCTGAGCGCGTCGCATACCGTGCTCAGGTCAGGGGCGTGTTGCACTTTCAGCATTAATGTCAGCGTGCCATGAATGATGATCTTCACGAGGTCTGCCGGCACGGGCTGGCTGTGAGTGCGATCGATGCACGTCAGCGCGCCTTGAAGGTAAGTGCTGACGCGTGTAGCGTGCTCGCGGAATGGGGTAGGCCATGCGGGCTGCTGAGGCCACGGTGTCGCCATGGCACGTCAGTCGCAGTGGGCGCTACGGCTGGGTGCTGGCTAGTCGATTGACGTCAAGAGCAACCGTTTGCGTGCGATTGTAAGTAGATTGTGTGTATTCTGCGTATTCATCACCGAGAGGTCTGTGATCTAAGCTTATATACATAGAGTAGTGGGCTGATTGGCCGCTGAATAGTCCACGCGACCATGCAAGGTACCCTGGGCTTACAGCGATAAACTGGGTAGATTCCAAAAATCGAGTTCTCGCTGATTGTGGTGTTTTTCTATGCCAAGGTGCGGCAACATGCGCATTGCGATTGCGGGCCTACGGTACCGACTTTGCCGACGCCCGTCATCTCTGGACCGTGGAGCCTAGTCTAGCTTAATCTTTAACCCATCCCTGATTCGTTAGGTTCCTCGAACTTCTAATCACATGGCCGCCGCTGTTTTTACTCCTGGTGACAAGTTTTGCCGACTTTTTTGCGAGCACGTGACAAATCCTTCGTGTGACACTCGTAAGCAGGCTAAAGCATGTATGCTCGAGGACGGGAAGAAACTACAAAGGTCGACGACCTAGCTTGTTGCGAATCAGTAAAGTATTGCGAAACATTTAGCACACGTCACCGCTTGTCTCCACCTACATTTTTGCCCTACAAATGCGCACCGTTTCCGGTGCAAGCATCGGGTGACTCGGAATGCGCGTTACGAGTGCACAGACAGTACAGCGCCGTTTAGTTATTTGGGCTCCTTCTTGATTGCCACCACTACGAGCCTTCTTCGACCGCCCAGCAGCCACAGAAGCCTCAGCGGCTATCTGGGCTGCTACCTCACCATACTCCATAGTGCCACCCTGCTGGATCCGCTTGCGTTTACGCGTTTTTCTCTCGGTCATCACTGTTAATTTCTTTTCAAGCTCCGCGTTGCGGGCAGAGAGAAGAGCGTTTTGGTGCAGCATTACCGTGCCCGTGCGCGTGATGCGCTTGTTCGGGTGATGCGCGCAACCACCAACATGTGCACTTTACAAAAATGAGGTTCTACAGCCACATACAATAGCTATTATCACGAGATTTCTTAGTGGACTACTCTATAGACCTATGCGACAAAGTTCCTCTACACAAATTCATTGTACAAGGTGGCGGTTCGGCCGCTGCGTGTGGTGTGGGTGCGCAGCTCGCGTGCAGGCTCCGCATCAACAACACGACTACGCGCAGCCCTAGCACCACGATTCTGCTTCTTTTTTGGTACAGGAGCTGGTGAAGCTTTGCGCTTGCCTTTGTTAGGCAATCGTATGGCGTTTTGAGCGTCGCGAGCTTCTTTATCCTTGCGTCTTTGCTCTTTGCGCGCATCGATAGCGTGGCGTTCCTTAGCCTTCTTTGCAGCCCTCTCCTTCTTCTCCTCTGCTGCTTTTACACGCTTTTCTTCAGCTATCTTGTCGTTGTAGAGCTTATTAGCATGCTTCAACTCCTTCATGTTCGCCTTTTCAAGCTCCTCTGCATGTGCTGTCTCCTTCATAATGCAATCACGACGCCGAGCTTCTCCAAACTGTCGCGGAGAGTGCCACTTCGCACCGCCCTAATCGTCAAGGGTGTGCTTGTTAAGGTCTAGTGCTTTGCTCTTCTTATTCTGCTTCTTCTTGACCTTGAGCGCCTCAGTAAGCCCCATATTCTCGTCGTGAAGTAGCTCATTCTGGATAGCCAAGTGGTGTATAGTCTGCCGCAGGGCCTTGGCTTCTGGCAGCGTCTTATTCTTCACAACACAGTCGAACTGTCTCATTATTTCGCGGCAATTAGCACCTTCCAGCTGCTGCGGAGGTGTTGACGGCGAGACTGGAGCCTCAAGCTCAGACTTGCTATCAGTCAGTTCGATCGACAGACTGAAAACCTAAATAGGAAATCCCGGACGGAAACTAGCCTTATTAGGTTTTCAGTCTGTAGATCGAACTGACTGATAGCAAGTCTGGTGCCAAGAGAGAGAGAGAGAGAGTGTGTGTGTAGGGGAGGGGAAAGAGGAAGAGGGGTGGGGAGTATCGCAGCTATTGTGCTGGACCTAGTTCTGCTAGGTGCTGCATTACCCGTTGCTGTTGCAGGGCAGGAAAAGCTACCGGGGACCACAGTCCGCAACAAGCAATCTGGATTGAACGGATTGATTGACTTGATTGGTTTAACCAATCTAATCAATCCAATCCGTCGCTTCTTGAATTTGCGCCAATCTGCAAGCAAATCAATTTTAGACCTTCAGATTGATTGATTAGATTGGTTAGATTGGTCAGATCGTTATTCCAGGAATGTAGATTAAGATCGAGTAGTCCGCCTGCATTGTCTGTGACATCACGTGATGATAAGAAAGTCACGTGCAGATAAGCCGATGAAACAGCTTATCACGAAATCGGCATCTGCCTCGGAGATTCGATAACCCCTATGTATAAACTAACCAATCAAGTCAATCAAGTCAATCTGAGCTACTTCAAAATAGCTTCAATCAATCCACAATCAATCAGCAGCTAGGCTGCTGACAATCAAGTCAATCGACGACTCTGAGATTGATTGGATTGCTTGTTGCGGAGTCTATTAGTTGGAACCTTAAGCACCGACGCGCGACACCGGCCAATCACCTCGAGACAATCTGCTTACGTTAAAGCAACCGGTTGAACCGGTCGGTGCAGAGGGTCCACATTTTCTTGGGGCCCTTGTGTCAAGCAAGTAACTTACTTGGTTGACAGACACACTGGGACGATCCCCACCTGGAACTGCTCCAATCAAGCGGCTACTCACCGCACTTAAACAAGCAGCTCTACCTGAATAGGGTAGGGGGTGGCCTATGATCACATCAGCTTCTACATACGTTCGAACCTGAGGGAGGTGTGTAAGCCCAGGGTACCTTGCATGGTCACGTGGACTATCCAGCGACCAATCAGCCCACTACTCTATGTATATAAGCTTAGATCACAGACCTCTCGGTGATCAGGACAATACACACAATACACACAATACACACCATCTACTTACATTAGATTGAATACGAAGTTGAGCACAATGACCATAAGGGTGCATTGTCCAGTGTCTATATACTTGTACGATAGTCGCGTTGGCTCCTACCGATAGTCGCGATAGTCGTGCGCGCTCCTATCGATAGTCCTTGGCGTCGTGAGCGGTCACGTGACTGTACGCTTACAGTTAGCGGTTTTGAAGGATTGCGGTCCTGGCTGTGCTTGTGTGGCGTGGTTGCGGCGTTTTGGCTGGGGACCGTAACAACTGGCTATCTCGCTACGACTCCCAACGAGATCTCGCTCGCTTCGCTCTAGACATGTTTGCAATCTCGCCTGTGTCGGATGAATGCGAACGTCTTTTCAGTAGCGCAAAGCTTACGATAGTTGATCGCCGTGGTAGGCTGAAGGCAGATATTATAGAGGCGTGTGAGTGTCTCCGGGCCTGGTATGGAAAGCCCCAGGCTGAAGGAAACAGCGATATCGAGGATAGTGAGAACGAAGACGACTGGATTGATAGTTAGTAGTAAAATACATTTCCTTGGCTTCCTTCTTTTCTCCAGCCTCATTCTTGGCGGTCTTGTCGGTCGGACCGGTCTGGTCGGACTGGTCCTTATGTAAGCACCTGGTCTGGTCTGGTCTGTACCCTCAGACCAGACCAGACCAGACCATTCCGATCACTGCACTGTACCTAGCAGAACTACTATCTATGGACACAGAACGGAGGTTTGGATATGCAGACGACATATGTCTATACCGGGCCTCACACTCCATGGACGACAACGTCGAGCTCCTAGCATCAGATCTAAGGCAGATCAGAACATGGGGCGAGGCCAACAAGGTCACCTTTGCCCCAGAGAAGCAGGAAATGATACATCTGACTAGACAGCGGAGCAGCTATGCACCACCATGTGTTGTAGACGAGCAGCTCACGATCCACCCTATCCTCCCAGGTGGAGAGCACAGCCAGCCAGCCCTACGTCGGTTAGGAGTGTGGTTTGACCGCAGACTTACCTTTAGACGACATGTAGCCACACGCACTGCAAAAGCGGCTAGGGTAGCCCATCATATTCGCAGTCTGGCCAGGACTACCTATGGACCAC